TGACTTTTTAAATTAGCATAGCTCAATTCTCTCGAATTAAAATTTTTTCAATATAAGCATTTTGAGGCTACACCTTGCCCTTGAAATACCACTTCGGCCTTCTCCCACAGGTTTTATTCTGTATTTTCATTACTGTTCAGTTACAAAATATCTTTAAATTTCCATTATGATTTCTTCTTTGACAATACGTTTATTTAGAATGGTGTTTTAAAATTTATAAAACCCGGGAAATTTATGAACCTGGGAGATGGAGGTTGCAGTGAGCTGAGATCACGTCATTGTACTCCACCCTGGGCAACAAGAGCGAAACTCTGTCTCAAAAAAAATAGAGATCATCACAGCTGAGAAGCTCCCTGGGTTCTTGGTAGCCCTCTCTCTGGCAGAGATGACCACATTCTTGATTTTTGAGATCCATTTTCTTTTCTTTTTTTGAGTCTTGCTCCATTACCAGGAGCCAGGCTGGAATGCAGTGGTGCAATCTCAGCTCACTGCAACCTCTGCCTCCCGGGTTGAAGCAATTCTCCTGCCTCAGCCTCCGGACTAGCTGGGACTACAGGCACTTGCCACCATGCCCAGCTAATTTTTGTATTTTTAGTAGAGACAGGGTTTCACTATGTTGGCCAGAATGGTCTTGATCTCTTGACCTCGTGATCCACCCACCTTGGCCTCCCAAAGTGCTGGGATTACAGGCGTGAGCCACCACGCCCAGCCTCTGTTTTGTTTTTGAGACAGGATCTCATTGTGTCACCCAGGCTGGAGTTCAGTGGCACGATCTCTGCAACCTCTACCTCCTGGATTCACGAGAACCACCTGCCTCAGCCTCCTGAGTAGCTGGGATGGCAGGCGCAAGCCAACATGCCTCGTTAAATTTGTATTTTTGGTAGAGATGGGGTTTTGGCATGTTGCTCAGGCTGGTCTCGAACTCCTGGGCTCAAGTGATCCATGGGCTTTGGCCTCCCAAAGTGCTGGGATTACAGGCATGAGCCACAGAACCTGGCTCCATTTTCTTTATAGGCTTACCACCTATGTATGCATCGATAAACAATGTCCATTGGTTTTACCCATTTAAACTTCATATGAATATAATCATAGTAGTATATACATCTTTGGGTCTTGGTTCCTTTTTTTTTTTTTTTTTTTAAAGATGGGGTTTCGGCTGGGCATGGTGGCTCACGCCTATAATCCCAGCACTTTGGGAGGCCGAGGCGGGTGGATCACGAGGTCAAGAGATCAAGACCATTCTGGTCAACAAGGTGAAACCCCGTCTCTACTAAAAATCCAAAAATTAGCTGGGCATGGTAGCGTGCGCCTGTAGTCCCAGCTACTCGGGAGGCTGAGGCAGGAGAATTGCTTGAGCCCAGGAGGCAGAGGTTGCGGTGAGCTGAGATCGCGCCATTGCACTCCAGCCTGGGTAACAAGAGCAAAACTCTGTCTCAAAAAAAAAAAAAAGAGATGGGGTTTCACCATATTGGTCAGGCTGGTCTCGAACTTCTGACCTCAGGTGATCCACCCGCCTCAGCCTCCCAAAGTGCTGGGATTACAGGCCTGAGCCACTGTGCCTGGCGTGTCTTGGTTCTTTCATTCAACACATCTGTGGGATTCATCCTTATTGTTAACTGAGCTGTGATTTCTTCATTTTTATTGTTGAATATTATTTCAATGCATAAGTATACTATTGATTCTTTATCTAGTCTACTGAGGAGGGACTTCTGGCTTATTTGCTATAATTTCTATAATGCAGATTATTTGAAATGTGTTGAGATTTGCCTTAGGGCCTATTTTGTGGCCAGTTTTTATAATGCTCCATGTAGGCTTGAGAAAAAAGTTACTCTCTAAAGGAGGGGCACAGCCTATGAATATTTCTCCTCCCTATTGTCTTAAACCCAGACTGCCTCAATTTTTTATTTCTTTATTTTATTTTTGAGACAGAGTCTCACTCTTTCACCCATGCTGGAGTGCAGTGGCATGATCTCGGCTCACTACAACCTCTGCCTCACAGGTTCAAGTAATTCTCCTGCCTCAGCCTCTCAGTAGTGGGGACTACAGGTGCCACCCATCATGCCTGGCTGATTTTTCTATTTTTAGTAGAGGTGGAGTTTTACCATGTTGGCCAAGCTGGTCTCAATCTCCTGACCTCAAATAATCCACCCACCTTGGCCTTCCAAAGTTCTGGGATTACAGGCATGAGCCACTGTGCCTGGCCTTTTTTTGAGTTATTCTGTTGCACCAATGCAGTGGCGTGATCTCAGCTCACTGCAACCTCCACAGCCCAGGTTCAAGTGATTCTTCTATCTCAGCCTCCTGGGTAGCTGGGATTACAGGCACACACCACCAGGCCCAGCTAATTTTTGTATTTTTTTTAGTAGAGACAGGGTTTCACCATTTTGGCCAGGCTGGTGTCGAACTCATGACCTCAAGTGATCCACGTGCCTTGGCCTCCCAAAGTGCTGGGATTACAGGCCTGAGCCACTGCCTGTTTTCCTTAGCTCCCTGGCCTCTATAGGTTGAGTTTATCACCTCTGGAAACCATGCAGGGTAAATCTCTCTTCTAAGATACTTTTTTTTTTTAATTAAAGATGGGGTTTCACCATGATGTCCAGGCTGGTCTTGAACTCCTGACCTCAGGTGATCCACCAACCTTGGCCTCCCAAAGTGCTAAGATTACAGGGCGTGAGCCACCATGCCTGGCTCTAAGATACTTTTATATACTAAGAAAGCCTGGGCTTGAACTGTGACAGAGTGACTGCTAAACAGCAGGGATAACGGGATAACTTCCCAACCATTTAAAGTAGTGCAGTATCCCAGTATGGTATTGGAAAGGGATGGGAGGCCTGGATTTGAAGAGGCGCCAAGCTGCGGGGAAGTGAAGAGCATGAGGGGAGGACAGATGAAGCCTGCCCTTTGTGTGAGGACTCTTGACATGATTCCAGGGTCAGGATTCCTTTCATCCATCTGCTGGCCCTTTGGACCACTCGGCTACTGGAATGCTTTCCAAGTCTGTATCCATGAGTGGCATCAACTGCCTCTTGGACTGGTCGGATTCAGATGGTGAGCAAAAGTAGGGAGCAAAGCAGGGTGGCCCCCTCTCCTATTCATCTCGTTGCCACTCCTCGTAGCTAGCTGTTTAGGGTCCAGATGTCCGGGATTATGTCTAGCCGCACACCCTTGGAATTCCCAGATGGTTTTACTATTTTTTCTTTCTTTTTTTTTTTTGATGAGTCTCACTGTGTCGCCCAGGCTGGGAGTGCAGTGGTGCAATCTGACCTCCCTGCAACCTCTGCCTCCCAGGTTCAAGTGATTCTCGTGCCTCAGCCTCCTGAGTAGCCGGGACTGCAAGAGTGTACCAACACACCTGGCTAATTTTTGTATTTTTAGTAGAGAAAGGGTTTCATCTTGTTGGTCAGGCTGGTCTCAAACTCCTGAGCTCAAGCGATCCACCTGCCTTGGCTTCCCAAAGTGCTGGTATTACAGGCATAAGCCTCTATGTCCAGCCTCAGAATGGCTTTATTCAAATGAACAATCTGAATTCTGGACTTTGGCATTCTGAAACTCCTACCAATGAAAGCAGACGTAGGACACAGTGAAGTTCTCCAGCCTCCCCATCACCAGAGATGGAGGACAGTTACCTGCAATATACCTTGTCCTCAAGATGGAATATTGGGAGCTCTGGTGAAACCTCTGAAACATCAGGCTCCCAGCCACCATCTCCACACAACCCTGGTGCCCTGTTCCCCTGGCTCCTAAATTCTTCAGCTTTGCCCTGCTTAGACCCCGCCCTTTCTCCCTGCTGCCCAGTGCCCGCCCTCAGGAATGGCGTCACATGCACCTGCAGCTTGGGAACCTGATCCAGGTGAAGCGGGTGGGGGAGGAAGCCCTGGGCGCCTTTGTCTGGCTTTAGCTAGACACTTCTTGTCTCCTTTTGTGTTGGCAGGGAATTTATCCCAGTCCTCTGCCACTGACCTCAGGAAACGGTGAGTGTGGGGGACTCGGAGTCCTTCAAAAGCCTCTATGGGGGAAGAGCAATAGAGTTTAGGCCATGGTTTTGTAGCTGCAAGGGTCTCCCTGCTTCCTGAATCATTCCTCCCCTTAACATTTCTGATCTAAGACCTCCAAATATCTTTCCCTTAGCTGCATAGAATTCACACACTTTTCTTTGGTATGGGTGGGCTCACCAGGTTCCTGGTAGCTCCATGAGACAGGCAGAGAAATTAGGGAAAGAAAAGGAGTATCCAGGGTGTCTGTTGAATAACAGAGCATGGGAGTTGCTTGCTGTTGTCAGTGGTATAGCGTGAAAGGGCAGATCAGCTGTGGAACGGTCTTCGTGAGGGGCAGTGACCAAGGACCATGGATCAGCTTAGGATGGCTCAGATAATAGATGAACGAACGGGGACTGGCTGGCTGTGGAGCCCCCAACAGAGAGGGGCCTGAGGGCAGAGTTCAGGTCTGGAGGTAGAGGCTGGGATATTTGCATAACTATGTAAATAAGCATGCAAAATCAGCACCTGTTTATTTGGCTTCTATGGCTGAAGCCTGGTTAGAGTGGGCCAGCCTCTAAAGACAGTGTGGATGTGTAAGCAAGTAATGGTCCCTTTAAGATATCAGGCTCTGCTCTGTGGTCCTGAAAATCTCTAGCTGACACATCCTCCTGGCTCTGGGTTTGGGATTAGCTCATGGGATGGGGCTGATGAAATCCCAGGAAATTCAGTCCTTATTGGCTTTAGGCCCAGAGGCCTTCTCTAAACAGCAGAGAGGGTCGTACACAGGGCTCTTGTTCTGAGTGGAGAAAATACCCCCCGGGAGAGCCCCCGCCCTACACCACTTCCTTTGGGGAACAACACGATAGAAGAGACTGGGCCTCCCATCCTGAGCCTGGATTAGGTAGGAAGGAGGAGTCGGTATTTATCTGGGTGGAGCCTGGACTTTTCTTCCTAAATAGAGGGGCCTGGGAAACTGAAATGCCCACATCCAGGAAGTCCTAGGAGGTCAGGATTGGGGCTTACCTTTCTCTCCCAGTCCTTCCTCTTTCTTCCTTCCCATTCTGGCTCTGCTGGTCATGGCACCTTCATCTACCATCTCTCAGGAAGGATGTTTTTCTTCATTTCCAGCATTCCCCCATCTCCTCAAGTCTTTCTCTCTCTGCAGCTGCAGCCAGCTGGAAGGACATTCAGGTACCTGGGCAGGCTCCTCCCTGCGACGGACCTTCAGCTTCCTCTTGGGCATGACCGGAAAGGCCAAGGTAGGAGTCAACTGGGGAAGCAGGAAGCTTGGAACCCCACTGCCCTCCCCGGTTCCCTTTCTCCCATCACACCATCGCCACATCGCATCACTCTCCCTAATAGAAACTCAGAGCAATGGTTCAATTTTTCTTTCTTTTTTTTTTTTTTTTTGAGATGGAGTTTTGCTCGTTGCCCAGGCTGGAGTGAAATGGCGTGATCTCAGCTCACTGCAACTTCTGCCTCCCTGGTTCAAGCGATTCCCCTGCCTCCCAAGTAGCTGGGTTAACAAGCATGTGCCACCGCACTCAGCTATTTTTTTTGTCCCTTTAGTAGAGACGGGGTTTCTCCATCTTGGTCAGGCTGGTCTTGGACTCCCAACCTCAGATGATCCGCCCACCTTGGCCTCCCAAAGTGCTGGGATTACAGGCATGAGCTACCTCACCTGGCAAATTTTTCTTTTTCTTTTCTTTCTTTTTTTTTTTGCGACGGAGTCTCACTCTGTCACCCAGGCTGGAGTGCAGTGGCATGAACTCTGCTCACTGCAACCTCTGTCCCTGGGGTTCAAGCGATTCTCTTACCTCAGCCTTCTGAGTAGCCGGAATTACAGGTGCCTGACACCACACCCGACTAATTTTTGTATTTTAGTAGAGATGGGGTTTCAACATCTTGGCCAGGCTGGTTGAACTCCTGACCTCATGATCCACCTGCCTTGGCCTCCCAAAGTGTTGGGATTACAGGCATGAGCCACTGCGCCTGGCTAAATGTTTCATTTTTTTTAAGAGAGGGGGTCTCCGTCTCCCAGGCTGGAGTTCAATGGCATGATCATAGTTCACTGCAGCCTCTAACTTTTGGGCCCAAGCGATCCTCTTGCCTTGGCCTCCCAAGGTGCAGAGATTTCAGGTGTGAGCCACTGTGCCCAGTCAAATGGTTCAAATTTTAAGAGAACACCTGCTGTCTCTTTTAGTCTGTGTCTCTGTGTCGCAGTAAATCACCTTTTTTCTGCTTTCCCCTACGCTTCCAGCTTAGTAGTCGGCTGTGGACAGCTGGAGGGGGAAAAGGGCCGGGAACCTCAGACGCTGAGGAATGGTCTAGCCCTCCCTCTTTAGGCCTCACATAGCTGACAGGTGGGCAGCAGAATCCTCAGCCATTGGACATAATAATGATAATAATTACAGCACTACTTTTTACTTCTTCATAGAGTATCAGCATTTGCAAAGTGCTTTTACACTCATAATTTTATGGGTGGATACAGCAGCTGAAGGAGTTGAAATTAGACCACAGGCAGAGAGAAGCTGGGAAAGTGTATGATTATGGAAGCACATGCATACCCATTCGTGCGGCCATGTGCTGTTCTGATCCCAGGAAGTGAAGGCACATTGCTCTCATCCTTATTACCAAGCCTCAGGCTCTGGTGAAACTGGGAACCCTGCTGGCTCCTTGAATTCATTTCCACTTTCTTCATTTACTGGCAGAGTGAGCCGTCTCCCTTTTCCTCCCCTGGCCTCCCAGGTATGCATGTACTTTCCCACTGGGGCGGATTCTGAGTGTTGAGAGAAACCCCAGAAAAGTCATCATATATACACCTTGAAGAGCCATGAGATCCTCACCAGTAAGGTTGCCTGGGCTCCTCCTAGCCCCACCCATAGTGCCAGAGTTCTCTCCTCTTCCAGCCTTTTTTCGGCCATGATTCCCTTTTCTCTGGGTGGGCTGCAAAGGTCAAGATTAAAGCAGGTCCTGTTGTTAGCACCTTCTCACCACAGGCCATGGGTGGGGAGTTGAGGCTGATGGAGGCATGAGACTGGGTGAGTCTCAGAAGAGGGGCAGTGGGAGAATCTGAACGCTGATGGGAAGGGAGGGCAGGTGGGACAGTGAGTTTCTCTCCCATGGGGCAACGGAAATCTTGAGGGAACAAAGCAAAAACAGAGACCTTGGGGTCTGAGTCCCACTTCCCTACAGGCTGTCTCACTGCAGGGTAGGGGAGTCGGTGATGGAATCACCCCCATTTCTTGCTGTGGGAATGGTAGGGGAAGTCAGTACTGCCCAGAGGCATCCAGATCCCGTTCGTGTGTTTGTCCACCCTTGACCTAGCAGTCTGGTGGAGGGTTGAGTAACCTAGTGAAGGGGAATGTGGGCAGAGACTTTGGAGCCCAGATCGGGAACAGGGAAGAGTCAGAATGAGTCAAGACATTGCCTCGTTCAGCCTTTCCTCCCCATGTCTGTGGTCCCGTCTTCCTCTGTTTCCCTCTCTGTCATCTCCTGGCGCATCTTCGTTCCACCTTCATGAATGTGTGGGCCTGCTTCACTTAATCTCTTCCTCCATAGGCAGTAAACGTCAGGGGGTGGGGCTGGAGGAGGCTCAGTCAAGCAGTGAGAGAAGGAAGTGGCTTAGTCCCTCCGCCTTGAGTAGCGCTGCACACTTGATGACACACTTTCCAGGGGTCAGCTCATTCAATTCTTATAACGATTCTGGCAAAGATAAGTGTTTCAATCTCAATTTTACAGACAAATACTTAAAGGTTAGTTACTTTGCCCAAGATCTCACACCTCGTGAGAAGCAGCGCCGTATCAGAAACCAGGGCTTTGGCTCTGGATTGCCTCTGCTTCTCTCCTTAGCCCTAACAGTTCATTCCCTCTCATCCTTCCCTTCTTCTTCCAGCTTCTGGCAGGATGGCCCCTTAAGGCAATTTGGCCTTAATCACCTCCTCCCAGAGTATACAAGGTCCAGACCAATAGAAGAAAGAAGAAAAACAAACCACCCTTGGGACAGTATAGAGTTTAGGCTCGGGTATACCCGGGAGCTCCATCTCTTCACCAATTGGCCAAGACTTTGGCAACGAGGTTCTTCCCTGGGACCTCCTCCATACCCATGAAATGGGAGGGGACATATTTCCTCAAGTTAAATGGGCTAAAGAAGGTGGTGGCTACTTTTGGATCCCGGTTGAAATGTTTGTTTTTGTGTATCTAAAAAAAATTATTTCTGAAAATCTGGAAGATATCACTGGATAGGAGTAGAAAGGAGGCCAGACTGAAGAAGGGGGCTTGGAAAAGGGGGGCAGATGATGCCGAGGAGAAGGGAAAGGTGTTCATTGTTTAAGAGGGTAAAGGACATGTAAACTGAGCCAAGCTGCAGGCCAAGCTCACTAAACACAGGTGTTTTTAAAGGCAGAACACTTTCCTTTTCCCTGTTCCTAGTCCCTTTCCTTCTTATTCATCTTCTAAGGGGAAGGCATGGGCGGGGGCGAGGGTGGGGGGTTAGGGTAACAGCAGGTGGGATGGAAAGTAGACTGAAGGTTGGGGAGGGCGACAGAAAAGGGTTGGAGAGTCAGGTCCTCTTCTTTCATAGAGACCTTCTAAGTTGAGCTGAGGAACCGTGAGGTCCCTTGAAAAACCCTGGGGTTCAAATTCTACATTTCCTGGGTACCCAGGCTGGAGTGTGGCCCTTTAAGATTCTATCCATAGCTTGCAGCACCCTCCTGCCTCAGACTGGGGAGAGAAGCTGAGGTCCCAGCCCAGATCTTGTCTCTGGGCCTCCAGTGGGTGGAGCCTTGAGGCCAAGATTCTGGCCTCTGACTGTCTGTTTTTAAATTTAGTACATTCCTGAGTCTTGGCTGCCCACCCCAGGGGAGGTGAGTCTGGAGTTCTGGAGCCAAAAGTCTCAGGACTCTTGATTTGGGGGAGTTCCTAGGCCCTCCGCCCTAGGTATCCTTGGCAGGTGCAAGCCTGGAAGAACCAGCTATGGCCCTGGGAAAGTCCTTCCTGCTTTCTGATTTCCATCCAGCCTAAACTGGGCGTGGTTTATGCCCTCTCCTTTTTTTCTAGTCTTTGCTATGTAAGGGTTCTAAACAGGGGAATGGGTGAAGGTGAAGAAAGAGTTGCTAGGCAGGAGGGGAAGCTGGAGGGCAGTGTGGGGGTAGTGCTGGGGGTGAGCAGCCCAACCAGCTCAGCCAGTGGTGAGGCAGTGGAGCCCAAAAATAGTGGCAGAGGCTAAAATTGGCACCTACAAGAGTGCTGAGTTGGGCTTGAAACCTGCAGCCTGGCCCCACTGCAGAGCCAGGTCAGGGAGCTGCTGGATCTGGGCTGGGCCTCCTCTCCCTCTCTTCTTCTCCCATGCCCTTTGGGGCCAGAGTCAGGCCGGAGCCTGCTAACAGAATGCTCTGTGCCATGCCTCTCCGGGCTTCTGGTTTCTCCAGAGAAATGGGAGCCCCTGAGAGGCGGAAATGAACTGCATTGTGAATGACCGTAGTTAGACTGGAAGAGGATTTTCCCAATAGCAGGAAACTCACCCGAAGTGGAGGCTGGCTCAGGCTGGGGCAAAGGGTCCAGAGAGATGAGTGCCCCACCTTACCCTGCTTCTTGTGGAGAGGCTAGCTGGGCCCTAACTGTCCTTGTCTAGGGCAGGCTGGTTTCTGTCTTTCAGTTACGGCTTCACTTGCAACTGAGAGAACTGGCGTTCGAGACATGGAAGGTGTTTCTCAGCTTCTTAGAGCCTTCCGTAAAAGTGAGAATCCCAACCTAGTCCCCCAAAGTAGCTGGCAGAGGCGGAGCTAGGAGGTGGATGGGCAGAGTGGGGTCAGAAAGGCCCCGAAGGGTGGGGGCGTGTGGGAGAATTCGCTCCTCTCTATTCTTCGACCTCTGGGACTGAATCCTACCCGTCCCGTGTACAGAAGACCCAGCCTTTAGTTCTCCTTTGATTTCCTCTCCCTCTGGCCGCAATCGTAAAAGGGGTCAGTTTGCTCAGGCCTGCTTTGATGGTGGGTCCCCGAAATCCAGGAAGGAACCAGCCCTGGGTTCTCTAAGAGCTGTGGGAGGGGATGGAATCCTCCTGCCTGCGGGTCTTTAAAGACTGAAGTAACGCAGTGGGGGAGGGAGGGAAGGAGGGGGAGGGCTGAAGGGAAGAAGGAGCGGGGAGAGGGGAAAGGGCAGACCTGGGTCCGGCCAGGGCTGCGGGCTGGGTTTTAGGAACAGCAGAGCTGAGAGGCGGGTCTCTGGGGCTGGAGGGCGCCCCCGGGCGCTGAAGGGGAACCAAGCCGAGGGGCCTCTCAAAGCTGTCCTAGGACCCTAGAACCTCTCCTAGCTGCCCCCACACAAACCCCGGCGTCCCGTCCCGAGAGCCGGCACCCCGCCCTCCCTCCGCTCCGCCTCCCCCCTTCCTGAGCCTGGGCGGGGGAGGAGACTCGGGTTTGAGGAACTGGCGCTGGGTACGGGGCGAGGGGAGTCAGACTTCCTGTCCCCAAGACCGACGCGTGCGGGCCGGACCCCTCCCCCCAGCCCTCCCCCCACAATAGCCGGACGCCGGGGTCCGCGCCGCGTCCTCTCGGGTCCCCCCGTCCGATTATGTCTCGGATCGAATCCCTCACGCGGGCGCGGATCGACCGGAGCAAAGAGCTGGCGAGCAAGGTGGGCTCAGAAACCCCTCCTCTCCCTCCGCCGCGGTCCCCGGGTGCTCCCCGAACCCCGGCACCCGCGGCGTATCCCCTGTCTCCCCGCCTGCTTTCTGGGCGCCAAAATCGGGCGGAGCGGCTAGCGGCGGGACGGGGTGGGTGGGGACTGCGAGCGAGCGGGGAGGGGTGGGGGGAGCGGCAGACGCGACCCGCGCCTCCACTCCGCCGCGCGATTCGGTGCTGGGATCCCGGGAGGGAGCAAACCTGGGCTTGGTCGCCTCCCAGCCGGCGGGACCGAGAGCTTTAGGCCGCGCGAAAGAAAGTTGCTCCGGTAAGGGACGGAGCGGGAAGAGGGAGGTGTGTGTCCCGGGGATGGGGGCGGTGGGAGCTCCGGCACCCCCTCTCCCCCGCCCCGGGCCCCACCGTTTGCTCTCGGCGTTGCGACCCCCCCCACCCCCCGGTCGCTGGCTCGGTCGTTCCCCCTTTGTCCCCGCCATCCGGCGGAGGGGGCGGAGGGGGTGATTTCCCGGTTTCCTCCCACCACCACCACCACCCCTCCAAGACAAAAGTCAGCTCCTCCTCTCCTCGCAAATGGACTTTCCAGCTGTGATTCAGTTCTGCCCTCTGGGTGGGCGGGTGGCTGGGGTCGGGACGGCTCGGGGACCGCTTACTTCCCCCAAGCCATCACCTGTAGGTGAAGGGAGCAGAGGTCTTTGTGTAGCTGGGCTCCTTTCCTCCATCCTGAGCACTTCTGCCTGGAACACCGGGCCCCCATGGTATCTGCCCCACCAGCCTCCAGCTCCTCTTTCTCCCAACCTGAAAGCCTTAGGGTGACCCACCTGGCAGTGTGCGCTGTGTTTCCTGCCCTCCCTCCTCCTCCCCCAGCGCTCTCATTCCCTTATCTGCTCATCTTGGGGGGTCCCTTCACCTGGCATTTCATGAGTCTCGGTGTATAATTATCCACACCCCTCTCCCATCATGACCTCTTGGACATTCCTCTCCACGTACCCTTTATCCCTGCCTTTGTACTCAGTCCCATTTCCAAGCGCCCTGACCTTACCACACCCAGACCCCAGGAAATGATGAAGCTGACTTGCAGGTGAATAAGTCAGAGCAGAAAGGAAGGTGGTGCCTGCAGACACCAGCTCCTTGGGGCACCCACACTACCCATTATCAGACAGGCCAGGTCCCAGCCCAGAGCTGCTTTAATCTCTGGCTTGTCTCCAGCCTCAGTGCCTTGCCCTGGTGCCAGCCTATGCTGATCACCATCTTCAAGCATGGGAGCAGTACCTTAAGGGAGATAGAAAGCCCTCCCCTCCCCCTCCCTGCTAGTTCCTAGCCTGGCTACCTGTTTTGTTGCTAAACTGGGAGAGGTTCCATCCTGGGTTGGGGGTGGAGGGCCAGGGAAGGCGGCTTCAAAGACTTTCCTTAGGGGGTTGGGATTAGATTTTGCTGTCCGGAAAGCAGCTGGGGATTTGAGTAGAGCCTAAGACAAACAGAGGGCCAGGGTGAGGTGGCTGAAGTGTGGTGGAACAGTGGGGTGGCAGACAGGCTCTTCACAGCCGCTGGCCAGGCCCGGCCCAGCCGCAGCTCCAAAAGTCTGTTTATTTTTACAACCGTTTGAGCTGAGACCCTGGAGTAGAGCCAAGGGGGGCGGGAGAGGTTTTTTGAAACCACGGAAATTTGGTTCCACCCTAAAAAGGAAAGCCATGGGGGAGCCGGTGGGGGGAAGACCTGGCTTCGGGGCACAGAGATTGGCTCTGGCGGGGTAGATACTGGGATCCCTTTTCCATTATCGTGGGGAGCTGGGAGGTCAGACACCTGGGTGTTCATGCTCTGTTTTTGTTTTTTTGGTGGTGGGGGGACTGGCTGTTCTTACCCTGGGGGCTGGCTGTGGGGGGCGGGTAATTTGGGAATCTGGCTGCCAGCGGGGAGTGGGGGCTGAGTGGGTGGATCTGAGAGGGCCTAGAGGCCACAGGAGGAGGGTGGTTGTCAGTTTGGGCTGGTCGGAAGGGGAGGGCCACCTCCGGAAAGCTGTGGTTACAGAAGGGGGAGTTGGTTCTTAGCCAGCAAACCCTGGATCCCCTCTCCCCCTCCCCCCAGCACACCAGCTGTCTCTTTTCTTTTTATACTGTGGTGGGAAGTAGAGGGGCGCCGCTGGAAAAGACATTATTTGAGGAAGATGGTCTCCCCTGCTACCTCCTTGGGGGATGGGTCACAGCTAAGCCCTGACACCTCCACTCCTCCCCATTTCTTGCCTCCCTCCCTGGGAGCTCCTCGGAGGAGGAGGAATGTGAGTTTAACCTGCCCTTCCTCCATCCCATCCTCACGGGACCTCTCTGTGTAGCCCCTCCATGCTTCCTTTTTCTTTTCACTGCATTTCTGTTCTTCCAGGCTGTCTTCAGTCCTCCACCTCCTCAATTCTCTCTGCTGTACTTCCTACCTCCACAAGCCCCAGACCCCACAAGGCCCCTTTCTCTCTTTAGCCACCCCGTTCTTCCCTTTCTCCTTTCCCAAACCCCAGCCTTCACCTTGCTTAGAACAAAGGGTCCTTTTCTGCCAAGCAGGGACCAGAGATCCAGGGATGACTGTGGAGGCTGGGGGGTCCCCTTGGAATCCCTACGACCGCAGCACTGGAGTGTGTGGTGGGCAGGTGGAGTGGGGAGTGTGCAGAGCGACTGTGCCTTTGTTCTGAGGAATAGAGAGGTGGCCGGCTTTGTGTGCGGGACTGGGAGCGCAGCAGAGAGGATGGCTGGGAGAGCCCAGGAGGGAGCTGAGGGGGCTGACGCTGTTGGAAGAGAGTGGAAGAATGGGGGGTCCTCTGGGTGGCTGAGGCTTCAGGGGACTTGATAAAAGGTTCTGGGGGTCATGAAGGTTAGGGAGAGAGCTGAGGGGGAGGGGAGAAGTCAGGATGGGGGAAGGGAGCCTAAAGCTTAGGGAAGTCACTGAGTGACTTGCAGGAGGTTAGACGGCCTAGAGAAAGACCTGCTGAGGCTGGCCAGTGGAGTTACAGTGGGGTCTAATCTCAGTCACTCTGGCTCTGGAACTGTGACCTTGGAATCAGAGGGGACAGGTCTGAATGTGTGAATCCTTCGTGTGCATGTTACTGGTGTGCTGGTGTGTCAGTGAGTCCGTCTGCCCGCCTGCCCTCCTGTCCATCCCAGATGCTCTGGGCTACAGTGGTCACCAAAATAGGGGGTTCGTGCTCTCTGGCCATTAGGAAGTAGCTCCATCTTTAGCTTTAGTTTCTGTTTGGAAGTATCATCTAGGAGCTGAGTGAGCGGATTGGTCAGGATTTCTGAAGTTGTTAAGAGAAAAGGCTGAGAGGAGCCTGCTGGACCCTTCAGGGTTTGTTTATGTCTCCTTGGGAGAGGGTGGGGGTGGGGTTGCAGGCAGCAGCTGCCCCCCTCCCAACCCAGCCGGCCTGCCCTGTGCCAGGAGGGCAGGGAGTCCTGGCACAGCTATTGTTCACTTGCACAAATGCCTGTCTGTTTGCATCGCTACCCCCCTCGCTTTCTGCTTGTCTCTCTCTCCTGGCCTGACAGGTGTGACCGGGTAGGGGGCAGGCTAGGGTCCAGAATGCTTGGGTCTCAGGGTCCCTAACCTGATTTATTCCCTGTGGCCCTGGGCACTCCTATTCTGTTTCACCCATGTGCCCACCCCCATTGCCAGCGTCTCATCTTCATTCACTAAGCGAGCATGTATTAAGTGCCTTTGTGTGTTCAGAGGTGTCTTTCTGTGTTGTTTCTGGCGTTGGCATTAGCGTTTCCATTTGGCTGCCTTCCCCTCAGCCTCCTGTCTTCTCCTTGTCCCTGGAAGCTCATAAAGGTGCAGGGCCTGGCCGAGGCCATCCCAAGCCCTCTTCTCAGTCCCATGGCCAGCAACCCCTCATCTCTTCATTTCCCAGCTCTATGGCTCATCCTCCAGGACTCAGTGCCCTGCATAGCCAGCGGCGCCTCTGCTGTCCAGGGGCTGAGCCACAGGTGATTCGAATCCCAGTGGAACTCTCCACAGTCTCTCTGATCACTATTCCAGAGGGTATGGACAGAGGTGTCACCATCTTGGGGAAGGGGCTGCTGCCAGTGCAGCTGGAGGAGAGGTGATTCTGAGTACCGTGTGACTCTCCCAGAAGTCTTGATTTGGACGTACCTGAGAGAGAACCAAAGGCAGCTGAGAGAGCCGGGCACAGTGGCTCACCCCTGTAATCCGAGCATTTTGGGAGACCGAGGCAGCCGGATCCCATAAGCTCAGGAGTTTGAGGCCAGCAACACAGTGAGACCTCACTCTACAAAAAAATTAAGTTTAAAAAAATCTATTATTATTATTATTACTATTATTATTTTGAGATGGAGTCTCGCTGTGTCGCCAGGCTGGAGTGCAGTGGCACCATCTCAGCTCACTGCAACTTCTGCCTCCCGGGTTCAAGTGATTCTCCTGCCTCAGCCTCCTGAGTAGCTAGGACTACAGGCACGTGCCACTACACCCAGCTAATTTTTGTATTTTTAGCAGAGACGGGGTTTCACCGTATTGGCCAGGATGGTCTCAATCTCTTGACCTCGTGATCCACCCATCTCGGCTTCCCAAAGCGCTGGAATTACAGGCCTGAGCCACCGCGCCCGGCCCTAAAAAGAAAAAAAGGCAGATGAAGGCTTAGGGCTCGCTTGGAGAAGCTCTACCTTGCCTGAGTGGACCTGCTAGGCCTTGCTGCCTGCTGGGAGCACAGGAAGCCAAAGTCCCAACCTTGGCATTGCCTTCTCCTCCATGTACGTCCCGGTTTCCTCATCCCTTAGCCTGGGAGACAAAGTGGAGAGAAGAGGGGAGACTGTGTCTGCCTTTGAGCTTTTCGAAGGAGAGCCCCGATGCTGTCTGCCATTAATCTTGTCCTGTCCTGTCCTTCTTTATTTTTTCTTTTTCTTTTTCTTTTTTTTTTTTTTTGAGACAGAGTCTCACTCTGTTGCCCAGGCTGGAGTGCAGTGGTGCAATCTTAGCCCATTGCAACCTCTGCCTCCCAGGTTCAAGCGATCCTCCGGCCTCAGCCTACTGAGTAGCTGGGATTACAGGCACCTGCCACCACACCCAGCCAGTTTTTGTATTTTTAGTAGAGATGGGGTTTTGCCATGTTGGCCAGACTGGTCTCGAACTCCTTACCTCAAGTGATCCGCCTGCCCTGGCCTCCCAAAGTGCTGGGATTACAAGTGTGAGCCACTGCGCCTGGCCCGGCCCTGTCTCTCTTTAACAAAAGTGACTGAGATCTAGGAAGACAGTGGGAGGAAGTTTGGGGTTGGTCTTCTGATTTCCAGAGGAAATCCTCAGGGTCTACGCTCAAAGGAAATAGGAGAGAAACGGCTGAGAGCCCTTCAGGAGGAGGGGGAAAGGAGAAACAAGAAGACAGAGGGTTCTAAAGCTCTGACAAGAGAATTCCAAGTAGGGGCCAGGGTGCTGCTGAGACCCCATGTCTTGGTGTCCATGCATCCTTCCTTGCTTCTTTGCTTCCTTCCTTTTCTTTCATTTTGAGACATGTATTGGGTGCCTGTTGTATACCAGGTATTGTGCTGAGGGCTTTCATGTTCTTTATTTACTTTACACTTGATGTAGCAGTAGTGTGGATGAAGGTGTGTGGCAAGAAGAACTTCCCATGGGATTTGTGAGAAAGAGAATGACTCTAGGGCTGAGTGTGGTGGCTCACACCTGTAATTCCAGCACTTTGGGGAGCCCGAGGCAGGAGAATCACTTAATCCAGGAGTTCGAGACCATCCTGGGCAACATGGCAAGACCCTGTCTATATAAAAAAAATTAAAAATTAGCTGGGCATCATGATGCATGCCTGTGGTCCCAGCTGTTTGGAGGACCAAGGTGGAAGGATCACTTGAGCCCGGGAGGTTGAGGCTGCAGTGCGCCATGATAGTGCCAGTGCACTCCAGGCAACAGAGTGAGACCCTGTCTCAAAAAGAAAAAGAATGACTCTAGATGCTGGAGAGCAGAGGACTGAACTAAGCAAGAAGAGCCTCTGAGCACTGGGGTGGGGGTTATGGATTATGGAGTAATGGGCCCTTTTTCTTGGTGGACGGATCGGGTCTTGGAGGTAAAGGGGTGCCCTACTTAGGGGTGGGTAAATGGGAGACCAGCATGATTATCTTTGGAATACCTGGAAAAGAGTAGGACAGAGAACCAAACAAGCCCACTTACTGCATCTCTGGAGCAGGCACCCCTGGGAAGCAGGCCCTGTGTCCTTCCATCCTCAGAAGCCTGGGCCCTGGGGCGGGCACAGGCCACCTCTGGGACAATAGCACTAGGCAGTGCCAGGGCCGCTTACTGCTGGGCAGTGCCCGTGCTGGGATGTGCTGCTGCTGTGGCTGCTGCCCGCTGCTGTCCCACCTAGAGCGGGGGTCACTTCGAGAGAGGGTGAGTGTTGAGAGGTGGAGGAGGCAGGGCCCAGAGTACCGGGGCTGTCTATGGAGCATCGATGCCAGAGAGGGGAGGGGCCCCTAGAGACCCTGTTCTCTGGCTGCCCTAGTCCTCTTCCTCCCTTTGCCACTCCATCTGAGCTGGTGGGGCAGATGAGTGTTTGTGGCTGCCACAGGGGAGGGGAGGGCAGAGGTCAGGTGTGGAAGAGGGCACTTGTAGCAGCATTGGGGCAGAGCAGCAGCATTGCCCATTCTGGAGTGACCCTGGTCCAGCCATATTTTTTTTGTTAATACTATTTTCAGCTTTCTTTTATTTATTTATGTATGTATTTTTAATAGAGACAGGAGTCTGGCTGTGTTGCTCAGGCTGTCCTCAAACTCCTGGCTTCAAGCGATCCTCCCACCTCAGCCCCCCAAAGTGCTGAGATTACAGGCGTGAGCGGCCTCGCTGGCCTCTTGCTTTTAATTCAAATGTGATAAATTCTCAAACTTTGGATTTGTGCCATAGAGAAGGCTGGAAGGGCAGGAGAAGAGGAGAAAAGGGAGAGTGTATGGCAGTGGGAAGAGATATTTGGACTTGGTCTTTGAGATCCTGGGAGGTTATTATTCAGAGGTGAATTTGAACTTCTTTTTTTTTTGAGATGGAGTCTCACTCTGCAGTGGCCCAATCTCGGCTCACCACAACCCCCAACCTCCCGGGTTCAAGCGATTCTCCTGCCTCAGCCTCCCAAGTAGCTGGGATTACAGGTGCCCATCAACACGCCCAGCTAATTTTTTGTATTTTTAGTAAAGACAAGATTTCACCATGTTGACCAGGCTGATTTCGAACTCCTCACCTCAGGTGATCTGCCTGCCTTGGCCTCCCAAAGTGCTGGGATTACAGATGTGAGCAACTGCGCCCAGCCTGAATTTGAACTTCTAAAGAGCTATGATTTGGCACAAGATAGGTGGAGGTTAGACCAAAGGGAGCATTTTCTAGTGGTCCAAGTAGGTAGGTACTGGAATAGAAAAAAGGAGGCCAGAACAGTTTCTGAGTTTGAGACCAGAGGCAGCTCAGCTTCCTGAATAAGCTTAGGTAGAGGAGCAGCTGGCCTGCGTGAGGAGGAGAGGAGGAGAGGCCGTGGGCAGGAGAGAACAGTGGCGGAGAAGCAAGGCTGAGAAAGGGAAGGCAGAGGGGGAGGAGCCCAGGAAGGAGACCCTGAGAGAAGGGAGGAGGAGGAGGAGGAGGAGGAGGAGAAAGAGGAAGAGGAGGAGAACAATGGATGATTGGGGGTGGGGAGGATGCATGAGGGGAGAATGAAGAAGAGATTGACCCAAAGACCTCTGGACTCTGCATGTCATCAGGCAAACCTGGAGCTTGGGAGGAAAGGCAGGAAAGAGAAGGATCTTGGGCCACCAGGAAGCTCTGAGACCCGAGGCACTGCAGCCCCATGCCCTCCGTCCCTGCACTGTTGACTCAGCCCCTCCACACTTCCCCTTTTTACCCTTTTCTGCCCTGACCACCAGGCCTGTGAGACTCTACCTCTTCCACCTCTCAGCTGCTAGCATGGCCTGGGCTGAGTCAGTACTAGTCTTCTAGAGTCTGGGCTGAGTGCTCCCCACTGAACTGTAATTCTTTGTCCCCAACCCAGAGCCTCTGTCTTGGGACTTCCACCCTCAGCCATCTGGATCCTGCTCTTTGATTTCTGAGAACCTGGCAAACCTTGGAGGGAGTGGTCTTGTCAATTTCTACTCCTCCTCCAAGAGCGGAGGGAAAATCTTAGAGATCCAGGGTCACAACTGAGGAAGGTCCTAGAATAGTGGGGAGAGTGATATCCCCCGCTTCTCGCCTTCTCAGACTTTTTGGGAAGCGTAGGGACTTGAGGAGGGACAGACTGGAGGTCAGGGAGAATGACTCGACTTGCAGAGGCAGGGACACTGGGGGAAATGGGAGACAGCAGAGTCGGGAAAGGCCGGCTCTGAGGCTCCGAGGAAGGTGTGCGCCATCTGTGGAGACCAGCACTGAAGGATGGAGGGTAGGTCTCAGAAAGGACTTCCTAGGATGGGAGAGCCCAGTTGAGTGAGGAGCAAAAGAGGACTCTCCCAGATTTTAACTCTGGAGGATAGTATGAGAGGGATAAAAGTCAGATTGCAGGAGAGATTTTCTGCCAAAAGCAACCGAGATGGCTGGCTGAGATTCCTTACTTAAAGATCTCAGAATGGAGGGATGACCCAAAGGCAGCTGCCCTTGCCTTGAGGTTATGAGGGGACATGCTGCCTCCCAGACAGGCCTGTATTCCTTGGCTGAGGGTTGGTGAAAAGATCTAGAGGTTTGGGATCCTGACCTCTGGCTTGGGGGTGGCAAGGGGGAGGCATTCTGCCCCCTTCAGCCAATCTAATAAGGGGATCTCCTGCTCCCCCCCCCACTGCCACGGAGACAGCGGCTCCAACATCGGTTGTCATGGTTATAAGAGGAGCTAACTCCCATAGATTGGAAAGCGCTGGTGAGCTGGCACCCTCTGCTTCGCCTGCTCTCCCCTCCTCTCTGCGCATCTTCCCCCTAGCACAGAGAAGAGAGTACAGCAGCTCGGGGGCGAGCAGAGCTAGGACTGGGAAGGTGGAGTGAGGACGCAGAGACCTCGAGCCAGGGAGATGAGTGGCAATAGGAGGCAGCCCAGCCGCAGGGGCCAGGTAGGTCAGGGACCCAGAACCCGTCTGGACTGGCTGCCCCAGAGCCTGGCCTGGTCACTCCTGGACAGCTGCCTCTGATACCCAGTTGCAGGCTCTGCTTTAGGAACTGGTGTCTTTCCTCAGGCTGGCATTTCTTCCTTGCCTCTGGACTCCAGGCACCCTGGCATTTTCCAGCCTCACTTCCTCTCCCTCTCACCCTTTCCGCAGGCCCGGGAAAAGGAGAAGATGAAGGAAGCCAAGGATGCCCGCTATACCAACGGGCACCTCTTCACCACCATTTCAGTCTCAGGCATGACCATGTGCTATGCCTGTAACAAGAGCATCACAGCCAAGGAAGCTCTCATCTGCCCAAGTAAGTTGTTTGGACCCTAAGAGTCACCCAGACTCAGTGCCCGCTGACCCTGATCTTTGCATCTGTTTTTATCTGCCTGGACCCATGAGGATCATTCGTCTCTCTCATCCCCAGCCGGGCCCAAATGCCAGGGCCAGATGCTTGATCCCTTGCTCCCTGTCCTCACGCTGAGGGGTGGTGGCTGTTGGAATATAGCATAAGCCGGACTATCTGGGAATGTGGGGGAGGGGAGGCTGGGCTGGCTCCCCTTGCAGCTGTCATCCACTGGGCCCCCCTCTTGCTCCCTGAACAGCTGCTAAGGGTTAGGGGAACTGATTGGAGAAGGAGCAGGAATGTTGTATGTGTGGAGGGAGTGGGGTGGGGGGTGATAGAGGAACTAGGTGGAAAGCTGCCAGCCTTGCAGCTGGCTCTGCCCATCTTCCTGGGCAGAGCTGGGCATTCAGGACTTCACAGTCCCCTTGCCCCTTCCTTTCTATTGCCTATGGGTGGAGCCTGAAACCTCTGATGTTTCAAGCAGAAGATGGGATTAGGACCCTTCATCTCAAATTTCTAGTCTGACTATACAGTGAGAAAGAGGGAATGCAGCAGGGATGTGTATGTTGGGGGCAGGGGTTAGAATCCCTGCCCGTCATCCAGATCTGAGTGTAGCCCTGTCTTTAGGGAGTATAAGCCAGGAATTCTTTCCTTCCCCAGAATGCCTACACAGAGGGCTCCTGCTGCCCCCTCTCCCTCATTTCCTCCTGAAGTTATGGCAGAAATGCCTCTGATTAGAGCAGGATTGAAGGTATTGTGACCTGCTACTGAATAGTTGGCAAAAGCTGTAGCCTGTGAATCCCTATGGAACTTGGGGAAGGTACCCCCAGGAAGAACCAGTGGCGCCTCCCTGCTTTCCTCACTGTTCAACTTAGAGTTGTGAGGATGAGGAGGGAACCCCAATCTAGATCCCTGTAGAGACCTGACAACATTCCCAATCCGGAAGCTTGTTGCCAGGGGAACAGGGGAGGCGGGCAGCACTATTTTGAGAGCAGGTGGAAAGCGGAGGTTCGATCCAGAGACACTGAGTGTTGGGGGTGGGAGAAGGGAGCTCCAGAGGGGTGGGGGCAGCTGCAACCCCCACTTCTGTCTGCCCCCTCTGCTCCACCCTGTTTGCCTTGTATTTGTGGAAGTGAGCATGGTGCTGGGTATTGTCTGAAAGAGTTAGCAGAGTTTCCGGTGTTGTTGGATGGGGGAGGGGAAGCTGGAGAGGGCCCGGAGCTGAGGGCATGTCTGGGAAGGGCATGGCAAGGGCCCCAGTGCCTAGGCTCGGCGATTCTTCCTTTCTTCTTCTCTCCTACCCCATGGCAAGGTGGGGTGGAGGATGGCGGAGAAGCAGATGGAGTGTGGGAGCTGTGGATTTGCCTGAGTTGGGGGAACAGGACTCCTAGGCCTGGAAGGGAGAAGGCCAGGTTTGGTGGGGAGGGTTGGGGCAAAGCAGGTCATGTCCCTTCTCTGCCACTGGAGCCATCAGCCTTGGAGCTGCTGAGGCCCAGCCGGAGTCCAGGGCATGTGGTCCAAGGGAAGGAGCATGGCCCTTGGATTCAGGCCTGCGGGAGTGTAAACCCCAGCTCTCCCACTGGCTGTGTGACTCCTGAAGGATTTAGCCACTCCAGGACAAGTTCCTCATACATGATATGAGGATAACTGAACCTCCCTCCACAGGTGGTTAGGATTAAGTAAATGTGGAACCTTGACTATGATAAAAGCTCGGGGAATGTTAATTTCCCCTCTGCCCCAGCCCCATCCTGGCTGCCTCTGTGCCATCTTCTGTTCTGTGGGAGTCCTTTCTTCCATCTGCCATTCACAACCACCTTCGTGCTTCTTGAGCTCATCTCTGGCAGCCAGTGACCCTTGCTCCCCTCTGGTCCACCCCTCAGGCCACCTTGGGGTCAGGATTGCCCATCCCACCTGATTGTTTTAATTTCATTCAGCACCTATCCCCCCCCCCTCACTTCATTTCCTGCTTGAAGGAAGAGGGAGGTGGGAGGAGGGGGACTGGAGTGTGGTAACGGCCCAGAAGTCGGGGAAGGGGGGAGAGACCCTGAGGACTGTGTGGCCAGGAGGAGATGGGTGTCTGCATGTGGGTGTGTCCCCTCCTGTACCACCCGGCCCTCCCTTCACCCTCTCTACCCCACCCTCCCAGCCTGCAATGTGACTATCCACAACCGCTGTAAAGACACCCTCGCCAACTGTACCAAGGTCAAGCAGAAGGTGAGACGGCAGGGAGGGCAGAGGGCTGGGGGAGAGGGTAGTGAGTGTGCGGTACCCTCGTGCCTTTTCCATTCATTCCCTACCCTGTGTTTCTCACCACCCCACCTCCTCACCATGGGGCAGTCCAGACCCTCAACCCCTGGCCTCGGGCCCCACGTAGGCCAGGCCTGTTGCTGCAGACATGTCCCTGCAGCACTGGGCTCAACCACCCTGATCCCCTTAACCACAGTGCCAGGTTTCTCCTAAGGGGGCCAGCCACCTAGCTCCTGCCCCATGCCCCCAGGGTGATCCTTGGGTGACGGCCATTCTTGGTATCTCTCTCTTGCTCTGTTTCACAGCAACAGAAAGCGGCCCTGCTGAAGAACAACACTGCCTTGCAGTCCGTGTCTCTTCGAAGTAAGAGTGAGTAGTTGGGGAGTGGAGGAGGCCCCCAAGCCCCTGAACACCATGCTGCTTAACACATGGGCTCTGCTGCCCCCCCAGGGTTGTTCCCAGGCACAGCACCTTTTCTCAATTAGAAGCAGAGAGCGGGGCCTAAGAGATGGCGCAGACTCTTGGACTCAGAAGCAGGACGGGAGAGTCCAAATGGGGATGAGGGCTGGAGATGGGTGGTCACCTAAGCCTGGCCACAACCTGTATTTTTATCAGTCATTTACACTGCATTTTGGGAGTGTTGGTGGCAGCTGTCAAGTGTCAATTCAGACAGCTTTGGTGTAACAGAAAGAGCATGGCACTCAGGTATAAAGAGCAGAGCCTCAGTCCCTGCCCAGCCATCAGCCAAGTCACCCTGGACAAGTCTTTTTGCCTTTCTGAGCTCCTGTTTGTTCATAGGCTATGTATGTCAGGGAGGAGATAAGTAGGAAAAAGTTCTTCGTGAATATTACAGTATTGCACCAATGTAAGGTGGCATCATTATCATCTTTCTTGACTAGAGGGGGCTGAGGTAGAGTGAGAGGAAGGAGCCTGGGAGGCCTCAGTCCTGGGAAGCACCAGAGTGTGATGTTTGCCTGCTGGGTCTCTCTCCCTCACAGCAACCATCCGGGAGCGGCCGAGCTCGGCCATCTACCCCTCCGACAGCTTCCGGCAGTCCCTCCTCGGCTCCCGCCGTGGCCGCTCCTCCTTGTCTTTAGCCAAGAGTGTTTCCACCACCAATATTGCTGGGTGAGCCTCTGTTTGGGGAAAGGGGCAGGCAGAGACTGTGGCAGTGGAGACCAAGGGGTGCTGAGAGGTCCCTTTCCATCCCTGAGTTCAGAACTGTAGACAGATGAGTAAGGAGAACTTAGGGGGACTGCCTCTTGGATCCTGGCTTTGGTTCCCTACCTGGGAAGGGGTCTCTTGCCCGACGGGGGATGATGCAGACAGCCCCCACTTTCTTCAGACATTTCAATGATGAGTCTCCCCTGGGACTGCGCCGGATCCTCTCACAGTCCACAGACTCCCTCAACATGCGGAACCGAACCCTATCAGTGGAATCTCTCATTGACGAAGGTGAGCAGGCCTGGGCCCCAAGGAGCCTTGAGGAAGATGAAGAGGGGCTGGGGTTGAGAGGCTGGTGGGAGTCGTCTGGGAAGGGCAAGGAGGGAAGGGATCTAGAGAAGGGCCAAGGACCCAGGGAAGGGAACTCAAGACCTCTGAGTTGCTTGCCCTGCACATGTTCAGGTGCAGAGGTAATTTACAATGAGCTGATGAGTGACTTTGAGATGGATGAGAAGGACTTTGCAGCTGACTCCTGGAGCCTGGCTGTGGACAGCAGCTTCCTGCAGCAGCATAAGAAGGAGGTGATGAAGCAGCAGGATGTCATCTACGGTGAGCCAAGACCAAGACCGCCCTGGTCTTCCTCTTCCTTCACCTGGTCCTGTTTATCTGTGTCCTGTTTTTTTGGTCTTTTTTTTTTTTTTTTTTGAGACCGAGTCTCATTCTGTTGCCCAGACTGGAGTGCAGTGGCGTGATCTCGGCTCACTGCAACTTTCACCTCCCGGATTCAGGCGATTCTCTGCCTCAGCCTCCTGAGTAACTGGGATAACAGGTGCCAGCCACCATGACTGGCTAATTTTTACGTTTTTAGTAGAGATAGGGTTTTCGCCATGTTGACCAGGCTGGTCTAGAACTCCTGACCTCAGGTGATCTGCCCACCTCAGCCTCCCAAAGTGCTGGGATTATAGGTGTGAGCCACCGTGCCCAGCTGTATCCTTCTTTCTACCAGCCCCTACCTCTGAAATTTCCCTTATATCCTCTTGGCCTCCAAGACCCTGCCCGGTATCCCACAAGTTGCCCAGTAGGCCCCCGCCTCTTGATGCTGTTGGTCTCCAACGCCCTCTTTATCCCTTCTTTATTTCAGTCTTCAGTCTTTACTCTGTGCTTGTTCCACGCCTAACACCGTGCTGGAGGCTGTGGGAAGCCTCGACATGTAGAAGACATATGGTTCTTGCCCTAAAATAGCTCACAGCTTGAGATGATAAGGTGTAAAGATGAAAAATGGAGCTGGACGTGGTGGCTCATGCCTATAATCTCAGCGATTTTGGGAGGCCGAGGTGGGAGGATCACTTGACGCCAGGATTTTGAGACCAACCTGGGTGACAAAGCAAGACCTCTGTCTTTAAAAAATATTTTAAAAAACTAGCCAGGTGTAGTGGCGTGTACCTATAGTCCCAGCTACTTGGGAGGCTGAGACAGGAGGGCTGCTTGATCCCAGGAGTTTCAGGCTGCAGTGCCACTACACTCCAGCCTGGGCAACAGAGCAAGAGCTCGTTTCTGGGAAAAAAAAAAAAATACGGTTTTTTGTTGTTTTTTTTTTGAGACGGAGTTTCACTCTTGTTACCCAGACTGGAGTGTAATGGCACGATCTCGGCTCAGCGCAACCTCCGCCTTCTGGGTTCAAGCAATTCTCCTGCCTCAGCCTCCCGAGTAGCTGGGACTACAGGCGCGCACCACCATGCCCAGCTAATTTTTGTATTTTTAGTAGAGACGGGGTTTCACCTTGTTGACCAGGATGGTCTCAATCTCTTGACCTTGTGATCCACCTGCCTCAGCCTCCCAAAGTGCTGGGATTACAGGCTTGAGCCACTGCGCCTGGCCAATAAGTTTTTTCAAAGATAAAAATGATCAGAAAATGATCTAACATCATAATAATGCAGAATATCAACCTGGAAGGGACCTTGGAAACCTCACATGAGCCGTGAAGTCCTTATCCTAGGGCCCTGCCAGTTTCAGGCAAGCCAGGGTAGAGACCAAATGTCCCCATCTCCCACAGAGCTAATCCAGACAGAGCTGCACCACGTAAGAACACTGAAGATCATGACCCGCCTCTTCCGCACGGGGATGCTAGAAGAGCTACAGTTGGAGCCCAGCGTGGTCCATGGACTGTTCCCTTGTGTGGACGAGCTCAGTGACATCCACACACGCTTCCTCAGCCAGCTGTTAGAACGCCGACGCCAGGCCCTATGCCCTGGCAGCACCCGGAACTTTGTCATCCACCGCTTGGGTGATCTGCTTATCAGCCAGGTGGGAAAAGGCAGGACCCCTGGGTGACATTCATGGAAGGAGGTGTGACTGGGTTGCGTATTTCTTGCATCCAAACTCTAGGGGTTGGAGGGGAGCCAGGGAAAGCTGGAGAGACAGGAAGCCAGTCTGTTTGACAGGAGGCCAGAGGTGTGTCCAGTGGGTACAGTGTGGCTGTGGTGGAATGCTGACCTAGACTTGCTCCACCAACTTCTAGTTCTCAGGTCCTAGCGCGGAGCAGATGCGGAAGACCTACTCGGAGTTCTGTAGCCGCCACACCAAGGCCTTAAAACTCTATAAGGAGCTGTATGCCCGAGACAAACGCTTTCAGCAATTCATCCGGGTGAGCCCACCTCTCCAGATCCCACCCTCCCTGACTCATGGGGGCAGTGCTGGTGAGCTGCACCCACATGGAGGTCAGGCATTGACCACCCGTGCGGACCATCTACACGTGGATCTCATCAGCAATGACCCCTCAGAGCGCTAGACCATGTTGTGGTAATTTCCTTCAGTTGGTCCTCACTACAAACCTGTGGCTTTGCTATGCCCATTTTCCAAACGTGTCACCTAGGCCAGCGTGAGGTAAATACATGGCCATGGCAGGGCCAGCACCAGAGCTCAGGTGGTAGGCCTTTCCGTTGTCCTCCCCTCTGGCCCTGAGCCCTGCCTCCTCCCTTGTAGAAAGTGACCCGCTCCGCCGTGCTCAAGCGGCACGGGGTACAGGAGTGCATCCTACTGGTGACTCAGCGCATCACCAAGTACCCGGTGCTGCTCAGCCGCATCCTGCAGCATTCCCACGGTGAGTAGGCAGGCCCTGGAGGGGCCGCTGGGAGACCATTAGTGGCAAGGAAGGGCTTGGAATGACCACAGGAAGGGTGGGGTCGGGTGTGGAACCCTGGGCAGCCTCTAAAGGTGGAATCAAGACACAATGGGAACTGGGGTGTGAGTGTAGCTGGCTGAGCCTTCCCCCATGCCAACTCCTGGTGCCAGGGATGGAGGAGGAGCGTCAGGACCTGACCACGGCACTGGGGCTAGTGAAGGAGCTGCTGTCCAATGTGGACCAGGATGTTCATGAGCTGGAGAAAGGGGCCCGTCTACAGGAGATCTACAACCGCATGGACCCTCGGGCCCAGACCCCAGTGCCTAGCAAGGGCCCCTTTGGCCGAGAGGAACTTCTGCGGCGCAAACTCATCCACGATGGCTGCCTGCTTTGGAAGACAGCGACAGGGCGCTTCAAAGGTCAGACTTGCTGAGCAGACGAGGCAGGAGTTGAGAGTCAGACGGAGAGTGGGAGATGCCTGCAGGCCTTAGAATCAACCCATCTTTATGCAGCCCATACGACAGTGAGACTCAGTGGGAGAGAAAATTGGGGTCTCTGTGGCAGCAAAAGTCAGAATTCTGCGGTTAACTTTATGGACCATACAGAGCCTTCCTTATCAGGATTTTCTCATGTCTTTGGTTCTTGCATGTCCAGAGAGCTACCAGTTTTACTGAGGAAGACAAACTCTCAGACTGGAGGACAGGATCAGTTGATTCCCCCAGCTGGAATCCCAGCTACCAGGGATGGGAGTAAGCAGGAGCTTGGGGAGTGCAACCAGAGGAGGCCCAGAAAAGGGGACTGAGCCTTTGAAGGACAGGCAGGGAAGAGAAGAGACAGCGGAGCCGAGGGGGAAGATCAGGGGCCAGGGCATACTTTCCCAGGCTCTCTCTCCAGAATTTGTCCACACTGGGAAAGTCTTTCCTACCTAAATCAAAGCAAGAGAATAGCAGGCTTTGGCTTTGGGGGTGAGATGTAAGGGACAAAAGGAAACTGTGATACCTGAGGCCAGAACCTGGCTGAGCCTCCGTACCCATGTCATGAAGTCCCTGCTCCCTGGGTTTGGATATCATCAGTCTTCACCAGCCTCTTTCCTTTATCCCTTTCTCTCCTTCCCATCCCTCCCACGCAGCAGCTAAGAATATAAACCATGGGAGATTAAAAATAGCAAGGCTGGAGCGCGTTATTTCTGAAGCATTTAGCAAAAGCCCTCCCCTTCTGTGTGCCCACAGTTTAGTAAAATCCCCAAGGGCAGAGGGTGAGTGTATGTTTTCTCTCTCTCTTTTTTTTTTTTTTTTTTTTAGAAACAGGGTCTCGCTTTGTTGCTCAGGCTGGGGTGCAGTGGTGCAGTCATAGCTCACTGTAACTCAAACTACTGGGCTCAAGTGATTCTTCCGCCTTAGACTCTTGAGTAACTGAGACTGCAGACGTGCATCACCACACCCAGCAAATTTTTAAATTTTTTGTAGAGACAAGGTCTCGCTATGTTGCCTAGGCCAGTCTTGCTCAAACTCCCGGCCTTAAGCAATTCTCCTGCCTCAGCCTCCCAAAGTTCTGGGACTGTAGACCTGAGCCGCTCTGTGTGGCCTTCTGTTTTTCCTTGATTGTGACATCCATATTTTTTTTTTTTAAAGACGGGATTTCACCATGTTGGTCAGGCTGGTCTTAAACTCCTGACCTCAGGTGATTCACCCGCCTTGGCCTCCAAAGTGCTTGGATTATAGCAATGAGCCACCATGCCCGGCCAAAATATGCAAATAACTCTTTTTAAAAAAATTTTTTTATCTTTTAATTTTATTAATTTTATTTATTTATTTATTTGAGCCGGAGTTTTGCTCTTGTTACCCAGGCTGGAGTGCAATGGCGCGATCTCAGCTCACCACAACCTCCGCCTCCTGGGTTCAGGCAATTCTCCTGCCTCAGCCTCCTGAGTAACTGGGATTACAGGCATGCGCCACTGTGCCCAGCTAATTTTTTGTATTTGTAGTAGAGACAGGGTTTTACCATGTTGGCCAGGATGGTCTCGATCTCTTGATCTCGTGATCCGCTTGCCTCAGCCTCCCGAAGTGCTGGGATTACAGGTGTGAGCCACTGCGCCTGGCCAAATTTTTTTATTTTTATAAAGACGGGGTTTCACCATGTTGGTCAGGCTGGTCTTGAACTCCTGACCTGAGGTGATCTGCCTGCCTTAGCCTCCAAAGTGCTTGGATTACAGGCATGAGCCACCGCGCCTGGCCTTTTTTTTTTTTTTGAGATGGAGTTTTGCTCTTGTTACCCAGGCTGGAGTGCAATGGCGCGATCTCGGCTCACCACAACCTCTGCCTCCTGGGTTCAGGCAATTCTCCTGCCTCAGCCTCCTGAGTAGTTGGGATTACAGGCACGTGCCACCATGCCCAGCTAATTTTTTGTATTTTTTAGTAGAGACAGGGTTTCACCATGTTGACAAGGATGGTCTTGATCCCTTGACCTCGTGATCCGCCTGTCTCGGCCTCCCAAAGTGCTGGGATTACAGGCGTGAGCCACCGCGCCCGGCCTTTTTTTTTTTTTTGAGATGGAGGCTTGCTCTATTGCCAGGCTGGAGTGCAGTGGCGCCATCTCGGCTCACTGCAACCTCCGCCTCCCAGGTTCAGGCAATTCCCATGCCTTAGCCTCCTGAGTAGCGGAGACTACAGGCGCTCACCACCACGCCCGGCTAATTTTTTGTATTTTAGTAGAGACAGAGTTTCTCCATGTTAGCCAAGATGATCTTAATCTCCTGACCTTGTGCTCTGCCTACCTCAGCCTCCCAAAGTACTGGGATTACAGGTGTGAGCCACCGCACCTCAAAAACATTCAAGTTTTATGGAATTGACCTTTGTTTCCTCCTTCAGTCTTGGAGTGCTGACCCCATAGGATCTGAGAGCTTGAAGTGTGAAGCAGACAAATCGAAGGAGGGGCCTGCTGGGGTTGACGGAGATGGATGGGTCAGGGATGGTCTTTCAGTTCTCTGTGAGAGGAAGGAAACTTTCTCCCTCCCTACCAAGCTCAAAATTAGAAGTGGGAGCATGCCAGGACAGGGAGAATTTAGGTCAGATAGCAAAAAGTTCTTCCATTAGTTAGATATTAGAAATGGGATTTAAAGGCTGAAAAGTGTGGTCCAGGCTGGGCGCGGTGGCTCACGCCTGTAATTCCAGGGAGGCTGAAATGTGCAGATCACTTGAGGTCAAGCATTCCAGGCCAGCCTGGCCAAGATGGTGGAACCTCACCTCTACTAAAAATACAAAAATTACCTGGGCGTGGCAGTGCTTGCCTGTAGTCCCAGCTACTTGGGAGGCTGAGGCACGAGAATTGCTTGAACTTGGGAGGCAGAGGTCAAAGTGAGCAGAGATGGTGCCACTGCACTCCAGCCTGGGCAACAGAGCAAGACTCCGCCCCCCAAAATAAAAAATAGACCAGCAGTAGTAGCTTATGCCTGTAATCCAGCATGTTGGGAGGCCAAGGAAGGCAAATTACTTGAGGTCAGGAGTTTGAGACCAGCCTGACCAATGTGGTGAAATCCCGTCTCTACAAAAACATCAAAAATGAGGCCAGGCACGGTGGCTCACACCTGTAATCCCAGCACTTTAGGAGGCCGAGGTGGGCGGATCATGAGGTCAGGAGATGGAGACCATCCTGGCCATGGTGAAACCCTGTCTCCACTAAAATACGAAAAATTAGCCAGGCGTGGTGGCGTGTGCCTATAGTCCCAGCTACTCAGGAGGCTGAGGCAGGGGAATCACTTGAATTTGGGGGACGGAGGTCGCAGTGAGCCGAGATCATGCCACTGCCCTCTAGTCTGGCAAAACAGCAAGACTCTGTCTCAAAAAAAAAAAATTAGCCAGGCATTGTGGCGTGCTCCTTAATCCCAGCTGCTTGGGAGGCTGAGGCAGGAGAATCGCTTATATCTGGGAGAAGGGAGTTGCAGTGAGCCGAGATCACTGCACTCTAGCCTGAGTGACAGAGTAAGACTCTATCTCAAAAAAATAATAAAATAAAATAATTAAAAATAAGTAAAAAATAAAAGTGTGGTTCCTTGCTCTGGGAATTCTTACGACTCTCACAAAAATCTTCGACTCTGTTACCCAAAAAAATACACGTGAGTTGTGTTTCTGTGTAAAACTATTTACACAACTTCAGAAGGTTTACAGAGCCCCTGAAACCTGACATCCCAGGGAGTCTGTAGGCTCTAGGTTAAGAAACCTGAATCATTCAGGTAAAAAGCATTAAAGCGTTTTCTTTCTTTTCTTTTCTTTTTTTTTTTAGACGGAGTTTCACTCATTACCCAGGCTGGAGCACAATGGTGCAATCTCGGCTCTCCGCAACCTCCGCCTCCTGGGTTCAGGCAATTCTCCTGCCTCAGCCTCCCGAGTAGCTGGGATTACAGGCATGCGCCACCATGCCCAGCTAATTTTTTGTATTTTTAGTAGATACCGGGTTTTACCATGTTGACCAGGATGGTCTCGATCTCTTGACCTTGTGATCCACCCTCCTCGGCCTCCCAAAGTGCTGGGATTACAGGTGTGAGCCGCCGTGCCCGGCAAAAAGCGTTTTCTATAGAGACACTGAGTGACTCCTATGGTCCCTGCTAGCCCACGATGCTGTTTTGTCTGATAGCACATGAATCTTTCTCTGCCCTGCATCCTCCCCAACCATTTTTAAGCTGTAAGAATGTGTGGCTGGGTGCAGTGGCTCACATCTGTAATCCCAGCACTTTGGGAGGCCGAGGCTGGTGAATAAACCTGAGATCAGGAGTTTGAGACCAGCCTGAGCAACTTGGTGAAACCTCATCTCTACTAAAAATACAAAATTAGCCGAGCGTGATAGTGCATGCCTATAATCTCAGCTACTTGGGAGGCTGAGACAGGAGAATCGTTTGAACTCAGGAGGCAGAGGTTGCAGTGAGCCAAGATCATGCCATTGCACTACAGCCTGGGCAACAAGGTGTCTCAAAAATAAAAATAAAAAGAATGGGTAGAGGTGAGAGGTCTGAAAAAGTGGAAGCACAGTGGGAAGAAAGGCCAGGAAGAGGGAAATGGGGAGCTCTAACCTGATGGGATAAGCCTGGTCCTTGGGAAAGAGGAAAACAGCTGCTCAGACCATCTAGTGCTGACTGTTCTCCCACCTTCATCCCCCGCCAGATGTGCTGATGCTGCTGATGACAGATGTGCTGGTGTTTCTCCAGGAAAAGGACCAGAAGTACATCTTTCCTACCCTGGTGAGACATTCATTCTTCACCTTTCTCAACACAGACAAGTGCTTTAGGCCCTTCTTGCTTTCCTGCCCAAGCCCCCAGAGTCAAACAGCTATTACTGTTACTATTGCTGTAATAATCAAAAACAAGAGCAGCTCACAGGTATTGTTACTGTGCCCAGGCACTTGTACACCTGTGGGAGAAGATTATTTTCAACATCATTTTATAGATGATGAAAGTAAAACTTCAAGTTGGTTAAATAATTTGTCAAGGATCACACAATTTCTTTTTTTTTTTTTAATTAAAAAATTTTTTTTTTGAGACGGAGTTTCGCTCTTGTTACCCAGGCTGGAGTGCAATGGCGCAATCTCAGCTCACTGCAACCTCCACCTCCTGGGTTCAGGCAATTCTCCTGCCTCAGCCTCCTGAGTAGCTGGGATTACAGGCACGCGCCACCATGCCCAGCTAATTTTTTGTATTTTTAGTAGAGATGGGGTTTCACCATGTTGACCAGGATGGTCTCAATCTCTTGCCCTCGCAATTACACAATTTCTAAGTCTCTTCTGGCTGGCACCAGTGCCTGGGCTCTTAACTGGTGTTGTAGGATGATTCTTCAGTCCTCATCCAGAAGGACTGAAGGCCTAAATATTCCAATGGTCAGGAATCCCAGGCTTAATCCATCCTTTCCCCTGACTGGCAGGACAAGCCCTCAGTGGTATCACTGCAGAATCTAATCGTACGGGACATTGCCAACCAGGAGAAAGGGATGTTTCTGATCAGCGCAGCCCCACCCGAGATGTACGAGGTGCACACAGCATCCCGGGATGACCGGAGCACCTGGATCCGAGTCATTCAGCAGACAGTGCGCATGTGAGTGTCTACCTGCCACCTGCATGTACTTATGGCCTCAGGGTACCTGCAGCATCAGATCCCAGCCACAGCACTCCCTGGGAACAGAATCAAGTGTTCACAGTGGGGAGAAGAGGTTGAGGGAAAGACAAAATGGCCCAAGACAGGAAAGGTCACCTATGTTTTTATGTCCTGTAAAGTCACATTTTATACATGGCACATCTTATACATTGCCAACCTCAACTACTTTTCAAAGGCAGCACAAGTTGACAAGCAAAGGAGTACTCGGAGCTGTCACATGGTGGCACACCTGCCAGCCAGCAGTGCAATTTCAGCAGCATTCACATCTGCCTCTGTAGGCAGAGGGCTGTGATTTGGATTGTATTGCATTTTATGTTTATTTTTCTAAAAATGAATGAAAAAGAGGATAATGAAAGCCTCAATAGTAGAGAGGAACGAGTCTCATAAACAAACTCAACACAATAGAAACAAGAAGGAAATCAGTGTGTCAAAGCAGCGAATCTTTAGCTTCTATTGGACACACATTAGATTTGACACATCATCTATGTGTCTAATTGTGACGGAAAAAAATACCAAGTAAAGCACAGGTAAGATGTTTAAACTGGATTCTGGAAGATTACGCCTAAAGAGTGAATTCTAATTTGGATTTTTATAGTCCTTCTTCATTCCTCCTTCCTTCCCTCCCTCCCTCCCTCCCTCCCTCCCTCCCTTCCTTCCTTCCTTCCTTCCTTCCTTCCGTCCTTCCTTCTTCTCCGTCTCTCTTTCTTTTTCTTTTCTTTTTTTTTTTGAGACGGAGTTTCGCTGTTGTTACCCAAACTGGAGTGCAATGGCACGATCCCAGCTCACCGCAACCTCCGCCTCCTGGGTTCAAGCAATTCTCCTGCCTCAGCCTCCCGAGTAACTGGGACTACAGGTGCGCACCACCATGCCCAGCTAATTTTTGTATTTTTAGTAGAGACGGGGTTTGACCTTGTTGACCAGGATGGTCTCGATCTCTTGACCTCGTGATCCACCCGCCTCGGCCTCCCAAAGTGCTGGGATTATAGGTGTGAGCCACCGCGCCCGGCCTCTCTCTTTCTCTTAATGGAGTCTCACTCTGTCGCTCAGGCTGGAGTGTAGTGGCATGCTCTCAGCTCACTGCAACCTCTGCCTCCTGGGTTCAAAGAATTCTGCCTCAGTCTCCCGAGTAGCTGGGATTACAGGCACACAGCACCACATCTTGCTAATTTTTGTATTTTTAGTAGACAGGGTTTCACCATATTGGTCAGGCTGATCTTGAACTCCTGACTTCGTGATCCCCATACCTCAGCCTCCCAAAGTGCTGGGATTACAGACCTGAGCCACCACGCCTGGCCTGTTTTTTTTTTGAGACAGAGTCTTGTTCTGTCCCCAAGCTGGAGTGCAGTGGTGCAATCTCAGCTCACTGCAACCTCCACCTCCCAGGTTCAAGCAATTCTCTTGCCCTAGCCTCCCGAGTAGCCAGGGCTACAGGCACCCACCACCATGCCCAGCAAATTTTTCTATTTTTAGTAGAGACTGGGTTTCACCATGTTGGCCAGAGGCTGGTCTTGAACTCCTGAACTCAGATGATCCACCCACCTCAGCCTCCAAAAGATATGAGATTAGAGGTGTGAGCCATCACGCCCAGCCAAGATTCTTATAATTTTTGTTTAGCTTTCGGGGAATCAGTTTTCCTCAACTTTATCATTTGTAAACTGTTGTTTTTTAACTCCTGCACTGTAGACTTTTGAAAAAGTTTTTTAGAAATGCATATAAAAGGCCAGGCATGGTGGCTCACACCTGTAATCCCAGCACTTTGGGAGACTGTGGCTGGTGGATAACCTGAGGTCAGGAGTTCAAGACCAACCTGGCCAACATGGTGAAACCCTGTCTCTACTAAAAATACAAAAATTAGCTGGGTGTGATGGTGGGCACCTGTAATCCCAGCTACTTGGCTAAGGCAGGAGAATCGCTTGAACCTGGGAGGTGGAGGTTGCAGTGAGCTGAGATCGTGCCACTGCACTCCAGCCTGGGTGACAGAGCACAGAACAAGACTCCCTCTCAAAAAAAAAAAAAAAATGTATATAATATAAAAGTATTAAATTGCAGGCTGGACGCAGTGGCTCATACCTGTAATCTCAGCACTTTAAGAGGCTGAGGCGAGTGGATCACTTGAGGTCAAGAGTTCGAGACCAGCCTGGCAAACATGGTGAAACCTTGTCTCTACTAAAAATACAGAAATTATCCAGGCATGGTGGCACAAGCTTGTAATCCTAATTATTTGGGAGGCCAAGGCAGGAGAATCACATGAACCCGGGAGGTGGGATGGAGTTTGCAGTAAGCCAGGATTGTGCAACTGCATTCCAGTCTGGGCGACAGAGTGAGACTGTCTCAAAAAAATTATGAAATTGCCTATTCCAGGAAAGCAGTTCAAAATAACCTGTCCTGTTAATGGTAGATCAGTAGTGGCTTCTTTATGAATAATATTAATATTTATAATTGTGGCCAAGCACAGTGGCTCACACCTGTAATCCCAGCACTTTGGGAGGCTGAGATGGGTGGAGGTTAGAAGTTTGAGATCAGCCTGCCCAACATGGTGAAACCCCATCTCTACTAAAAATACAAAACTTAGCCAGGCACGGTGGCTCATGCCTGTAGTCCCAGCTACTTGGGAGACCAAGGCAGGAGAATTGCCTGAACCTGGGAGCAAGTGGCTGCAGTGAACTGAGATCACACCACTGCACTCCAGCCTGGGCGAGAGAGTGAGACTCTGTCTCAAAAAAGAAAATTGTAATTATAGAAATTATAGTTAATAATATTGTAATTGATTTATTGAGCTTCTGTTGTGTTCAAAGCACTTTAACATTTCCTTTAATCCTAATGAAAAACCTATGAGGAAGATGTTACCTTCATTTTTCAGATGAGGAAATAGGGAGGTTACCACCTGGTAAACAGTGGAGCCAGGATTTGAATCCTGTTGGCTTGATGCCAAAGCCTGTACTTGACCCTCTGCACTGTGCTGCCTTTCCAGGCAACCTTTGGAGAGATACATATCAGTAAACACAGATAATCAGTGCTAAGAAAAGGGAGAAGGTCAGTGGGCGTGGTGGCTCACACCTGTAATCCCAGCACTTTGGGAGGCCGAGTGGGTGGATCACCTGAGGTCAGGAGTTCAAGACCAGCCTGGCCAACATGGCGAAATCCCATCTCTACTAAAAATACAAAAATTAGCCAGGCGTGGTGATGCGCACCTATAATCCCAGCTACTCAGGAAGCTGAGACAAGAGAATTGCTTGAACCCAGGAGGCGTTCGTAGTGAACTGAGATTGTGCCCTTCCACTCCAGCCTGGTTGACAGAGCAAGACTGTCAAAAAAAGAGAAAGAGAAAGAAAAAGAAAAAGGAAAGGAAGAAAGGGGAGATGGTCAAAACTGAATGAAGCTAGGATGTGAGGCTGAGGAGTCTTATCAGAAGAGGGAAGCATAAGACATGTTTGGGAAGGAGGGAAGGCTGATTCTGGTCTATAACCTAGCTTCTGTCTCCCAATGGCGTGCGACCTGTTACCCCTCCAGATGCCCATCCAGGGAGGACTTCCCCCTGATTGAGACAGAGGATGAGGCTTACCTGCGGCGAATTAAGAGTAAGTCCACCCACAATGAGCTGCTTAGTAATTTATGATACATTCACACAATGCAATATCATACAACTATTAAAAAGATGAGATGGCTCTGTGAAGGCTGCTGTAGATCCACAACTGAAACATATTAAGTGAAAAAAACAGGGTTTAAAACAGTGTAAAGTGTATACTACCATGTGTGTAAAAATAATATGGAGGACCAAGATTGGGTGAGTAACTTTTTCACGGTAAGGCCTTATGTTAGTTAGAGTATGATTGAACTGCTTTACAAAAAGACCAACAGAAATCTTCTCTTCCTTAAAAAAGGAAGTAGATTAGTCGGGTGCCTTGGCTCGCACCTTTAATCACAGCAGGATTTGGGAGACAGGAGGATCGCTTGAGGCCAAGAGTTTAAGACAAGTCTGGGCAACATAACTTACCTAGCAAGACCTCGTCTCTACAAAAAATTAAAAAAAAAAAAAAACAGCTAATATGGTGGCACACGTCTGTAGTCCTGGCTACTTGGGAGGCTGAGGCAGGAGGATTGTTTGAGCCCAGGAGTTCAAGGCTGCCATGCACTATAATTGCACCACTGCACTCCAGTCTGGGTAACAACAACAACAAAAAAATCAAAAAGGTAGAAGATTATTGCTGTCAACATAACAGTGCAAAATGGGAAGTGCAGCATAGTGGAGCAGCTCTGCTGTCTTCAACATGAAGTTTCCATTTCTGTGTCATGTCTAAAGTGGCCCCTCTAGCTCCCACTGTCACACTTGTATCACACCTAGCAAGGAGGAGTAAAGGAGCAGAGTTTATACCCATTTCTTTTTTTTTTTTTTTCTTTTGAGACAGGATTTCACTCTGTTGCCCATGCTGGAGTACAGTGGCACAATCTCGGCTCACTGCAACCTCTGCCTTCTGGGTTCAGGCAATTCTGCCTCAGCCTCCTGAGTAGCTGGGATTACAGGCACACGCCACCATGCCCAACTAATTTTTATATTTTTAGTAGAGATGGGGTTTCACCATGTTGGCCAGGATGGTCTCGATCTCCTGACCTTGTGATCCACCCGCCTCGGCCTCCGAAAATTCTGGGATTACAGGCGTGAGCCACTGCGCCAGGCCAATTTTTTGTTTTTTAAGTAGAGATGGGGTTTCACCATGTTCGCCAGGCTGGTCTCGATCTCCTGGCCTCAAGTGATCTGCCCACCTCAGCCTCCCCAAGTGCTGGGATTACAGGTGTGAGCCACCGCCCCGACCTGTACCCATTACTTTTAAGAGCAGATCTGGAAGACTTATAGCCATTTGTCCAGAATCTAGTCACATAGTGATATAGCCATGTGCAAGTCAGGCTGGAAAACGTAGTTGTTAATTGGGCAGCCATGTGTGCCCAGATGAAACTTGTGTGTATTTTCTAATTAAAGGAAGATGGGAAGAATGAACACTGTTGGACAACCTGCAACCCCTGCCACAAAACTTTTTTTTTTTTTTTTGAGACAGAGTCTTGCTCTGTTGCCCAGGCTGGAGTGCAGTGGTGTGATCTCGGCTCACTGCAACCTCTGCCTCCAGAGTTCAAGCAATTCTTGTGCCTCAGCCTCCTGAGTAGCTGGGACTACAGGCATGTGCCACCACACCTGGCTAATTTTTGTATTTTAAATAGAGATGGGTTTTTGCCCTGTTAGCCTGGCTAGTCTTGAACTCCTGGTCTCAAGTGATCCACCCACCTGGCCTTCTAAAGTGCCGTGATTACAGGTGTAAGCCACTGCACCTGGCCAACAAAAAGCTTTTTCTTTTTCATAAATGCCAAAATAACAAAATGAAGTCTTGCCACACTGCCCCACCCTACCCTCTCCCCAAGGGCTGCCCTCTCCTGGCGCTCCTTCGTACCCCCAGGCCTCCTCATGTGCTCACTTATTCCTTATCTGCAGTGGAGTTGCAGCAGAAGGACCGGGCACTGGTGGAGCTGCTTCGAGAGAAGGTTGGGCTGTTTGCTGAGATGACCCATTTCCAGGCCGAGGAGGATGGTGGCAGTGGCATGCCCCTGCCCACCCTGCCCAGGGGCCTTTTCCGCTCCGAGTCCCTTGAGTCCCCTCGTGGCGAGCGGCTGCTGCAGGATGCCATCCGAGAGGGTGAGGGAGCTCCCAGGGAAGAGTCCAGGCTGAAGCACTCACCGTCACAGAATTTAGACGTGACTAGACACAGACAAATACAGACAAGTGGGATACCAACCCCGTAGACCATAAACAGCCCTGCGTGCCTCTTTTGGGCCCGTTCCTGGGAAAGGCAGGGGAGGAGGTGTGTCCTTGCTGTTGCTCCATATCGCTCATGCTGCATGGACTCATGCTGCCCCATAGGCATTTACTACCCTTGAGCTCATAAGTGCTTGTGTGAGTGAGGCTCACTGTCAGGAGGCATTCCCCTGGATGCCCGAGTGCACCATGTGTGGGGGTGAATGGCATTCCCCTCGGTCCTGCGTCATTCCCGTTCTCACCTCTTCTTCTTCCCCACAGTGGAGGGTCTGAAAGACCTGCTGGTAGGGCCGGGAGTGGAACTGCTCTTGACACCCCGAGAACCAGTCCTGCCTTTGGAACCAGACAGTGGTGGTAACACGAGTCCTGGGGTCACTGCCAGTGAGTTCCAGGGCAGGGAACCAAGGTAGTAGGTGGGAGGGGCCAAAGAGAGTGGGGTGGTACCAGGGATTGAATGGTATCAGGGCCCCAGGGAAGTGAGTCAGCCATCCTTTTCTCTTCAACAGATGGTGAGGCCAGAACCTTCAATGGCTCCATTGAACTCTGCAGAGCCGACTCAGACTCTAGCCAGAAGGTAGGTCCTCAAGGGGTTCTGGGATATGGCAAGAGGGTGGAAGAGGGACAGCCTCTCCTCAACACAAAGCTCTCAGGGGCAGGCACCCAGGATTTGTGTGTCTGAGGACTTCCCATTGTTGCCCATTTCTGCAGGATCGAAATGGAAATCAGCTGAGATCACCCCAAGAGGTGAGATGGGAACTGATGGTACAGGAGACTGAAGGGAGGGTGTTCTCAGTCTGAGAAGTTAGAGCCCAGTGTGGAGTGGGGCGGGGAAAGCGCCTGCATTCAAGTACGTCTCCAGATCCTACTGTCCCCGCACCCACCCTTGTTCAACTTCTGGGCAGTTCTCCCATCCTAAAGCTGGGGCCCTGTTCCCACCCTATCTGTCCTCAGGAGGCATTACAGCGATTGGTCAATCTCTATGGACTTCTACATGGCCTACAGGTCAGTAGGGCAAGGACTTGAATGGGGAAGGGGAGGAGCCAGGCTAGAGATGCCTGTCTAGATGGGGCATGGTCATCCTAACAGGTTTTTGTAAATACCTCCCAATCCAGGCTCTCCGGGAGTGATGACCTGGGCCTCAGAGGGTGAGAGGGATAGAAGAGCACAGGGTTTTTGATATACGCTTCTGCCCGCATTCTACCCCCAGGCAGCTGTGGCCCAGCAGGACACTTTGATGGAAGCCCGGTTCCCTGAGGGCCCAGAGCGGCGAGAGAAGCTGTGCCGAGCCAACTCTAGGGATGGGGAGGCTGGCAGGGCTGGGGCTGCCCCTGTGGCCCCTGAAAAGCAGGCCACGGAACTGGCATTACTGCAGCGGCAACATGCGCTGCTGCAGGAGGAGCTACGGCGCTGCCGGCGGCTGGGCGAAGAACGGGCGACCGAAGCTGGCAGCCTGGAGGCCCGGCTCCGGGAGAGTGAGCAGGCGAGGGCCCTGCTGGAGCGGGAGGCCGAAGAGGCCCGAAGGCAGCTGGCCGCCCTGGGCCAGACGGAGCCGCTCCCAGCTGAGGCCCCCTGGGCCCGCAGACCTGTGGATCCTCGGCGGCGCAGCCTCCCTGCAGGCGATGCCCTGTACTTGAGTTTCAACCCCCCACAGGTAAGGTGGCCTGCACTGGTGGATGGACCTGGGGTGGACATAAGGGTCTATTGAGCCCAAAAGAAATTGGGCCATTAGGGATTTGAGCCCAAATGCAATCAGGCAGCAGACTTGAAGGATATGAGATACTGGTTGGAGAACTGAAAAGAAATGTAGATGGGCGCAGGGGTGGAGGAGACTAACTCAGGTGGTGGTGGATCTCCTGAAGGGGAGTCATGGGTGAGCCCCAGTGCGGAGAGCTGCTGCCTTCAGCCAAGCAGAGCCTGCAGTCTTCACATTGCTCAGTCCCTGGCCTGCTGTTCTTCCTGCCCACTGTCCACAGCCCAGCCGAGGCACTGACCGCCTGGATCTCCCTGTCACTACTCGCTCTGTCCATCGACACTTTGAGGACCGAGAGAGGCAGGAACTGGGGAGCCCCGAAGAGCGTCTGCAAGACAGCAGTGACCCTGACACCGGCAGCGAGGAGGAAGGTAGCAGCCGTCTGTCTCCGCCCCACAGTCCACGAGGTGAGACCTTGGCGGAGACATGGACCAGAGGTAGAGTGCAGCCTGGGTACAGGCCTTTGGGCTGTGGCTTCCATATGGGCCCTAACTGACCTGTGAGGCTTCTAGTAACTCTAGGGAGGGACACTGAGAGGACTAACTGTTTTGGCTGATGATGAATGGGTTGTGGAACTGTAGGAAGCAGAGTGTGGGGGCCTCTCTCCTCCAACTGCTTGGTGATTCTCAACCTTTACAAGTAGAAATAGATTTAAAAAAAAAAAAAAAAAAGCACAGTGGCTTAAACCTGTAATCCTAACACTTTGGGAGGCCCAGGCAGGAGGATTGCTTGAGCTCAGAATTTTGAGACCAGCCTGGGCAACGTAGTGAGACCCCCAGCCTCTACAAAAAAAATATTTATTTATTTATTTTGAGACAGAATGTTGCTCTGTCGCCAGGTGCCAGGCTGGAGTGTAGTGGCGCGATCTTGGCTCACTGCAACTTCCACCTCCCAGGTTCAAGCAATTCTCCTGCCTCAGCCTCCCGAGTAGCTGGGACTACAGGCACACTCTACCACGTCCAGCTAATTTTGTATTTTAGTAGAGATGGGGTTTCACTATGTTTGCCAGGATGGTCTCTATCTCTTGACCTTGTGATCCACCCTCCTTGGTCTCCCAAACTGCTAGGATTACAGGCGTGAGCCACCATGCATGGCCTATTTTTTTTTTTTTTTTAAACGGAATCTTGCTCTGTTGTCCAGGCTGGCGTGCAGTGGTGCAGTCTCAGCTCACTGCAACCTCTGCCTCCCATGTTCAAGCAATTCTCCTTCCTCAGACTCCTGAGTAGATGGAATTTCAGATGCCCACCGGCTAATTTTTGTATTTTTAGTAGAGATGGGGTTTCACCATGTTCATCAGGCTGGTCTCAAACTCCTGACCTTGTGATCTGCCTGCCTCAGCCTCCCAAAGTACTGAGATTATAAGTGTGAGCCACCACGCCTGGCCTATTTTTTTTTTAATGGAGTCTCTCTCTGTCACCCAGGCTGGAGTACAGTGGTGCGATCTCAGCTTACTGTAACCTCCACTTCCGGGTTCAAGTGATTCTCCTGCCTCAGCCTCTTGAGTAGCTGGGATTACAGTTGTGCACTACCACACCTGGCTAATTTTTGTGTATTTTCTAGTAGAGATGGGGTTTTGCCATGTTGGCGAGGCTGATCTTGAACTCCTAACCTCAGGTGATCCACCCACCTTGGCTTCCCAAAGTGCCGGAATTACAGGAGTGAGCCACTGCACCCAGCCCCCCAAAATTGTTTTAATTAGCCAGCTGTGGTGGTGTGCACCTTTAGTCCTAGCTACTCGGGAGACTGAGGTGAAAGGATTGCATGAGCCCAGCAGATTGAGTTGGTAGTACTCCATGATCGCACCAGCATAGGCGACAGAACACAGACCCAGACACAGGATCTCGCTCTGAAATTTTTTAGAGACAGGGTCTTGTGCTTTTGCAGAGGCTGGACTCAAACTCCTGGGCTCAAGTGATCCTCCCAGGTAGCTGGGGCTACAGGTGTATGCCACTGTGCTTGAAAAGAAATATATGTAGATCTATTTTTTGAGACAGAGGTTTGCTGTTTTGCCCTGTCACCCAGGCTGGAGCATAGTGGCATGATCTCAGCTCACTGCAACCTCTGACTCCTGGGTTCAAGAAATTCTCGTCCCTTAGCCTCCCAAGTAGCTGGGATTACAGGGGTGCGCCACCACATGCAGTTAATTTTTGGCATTTTTAGTTGAGATGGGGTTTCACCATGCTGGCCAGGCTAGTCTGCAACTCCTGGCCTCAAGTGATTTTCCTGTCTTGGCCTCTCAAAGTGCTGAGATTATAGGCACAAGCCTCAGGGCCAATTCCCGTCCCCCCGCCAGCCTTTTTTTTTTTGAGATGGAGTCTTGCTCTGTTGCCAGGCTGGAGTGCAGTGGTGCAATCTCGGTTCACTGCAACCTCCGCCTCCTGGGTTCAGGCAATTCTTCTGCCTCAGCCTCTCAAGTAGCGAGGACTACAAGTGTATACCACCACTCCCAGCTAATTTTTGTTAGTAGAGACGGGGTTTCACCATGTTGTTCAGGATGGTCTTGATCTCCTGACCTCGTGATCCACCTTCCTTGACCTCCCAAAGTGCTGGGATTATAGGCGTGAGCCATCACTTTTGGCCCGTTTTTTGTTTTTGAGAGGGAGTCTCGCTCTGTCACCTAAGCTGGAGTGCAGTGGTGTGATCTTGGCTCACTGCAACTTTTGCCTCCTGGGTTCAAGCAGTTCTCCTTCCTCAGCCTTCTGAATAGCTGGGATTACAGGTGCATGCTGCCACGCCCAGCTAATTTTTTGTATTTTAGTAAAGACAGGGTTTCACCATGTTGCCCAGGCTGGTCTCGAATTCCTGAGCTCAGGTGATCCACCTGCCTTGTCCTCCCAAAGTTCTGGGATTACAGGCATGAGCCACCATGCCAGGCCAAAGACCTTCAAGTTTTTACAGTTGGTTCATGAAATAAAAAATTACCAAAAGCTTTAATCTTAAAGTATTTGGTGTTTTCCTAATCAGATTGTATCTTTGAATACTGTAAAAGCGTATCAGGTACCTAGGTGTGGATACCTTGTTAACTTTGTTGCTAGAGGTTTTCCCCTCACCCAAGAACTTACAGAACCCTGTCATCCCTTCATAGCCCCAGAGCCCCTGGCCCTGCAGTTGGGGAGGCATTAGTACAGGGGCACAGTTCCTCATGGGAGTCTCTGCTCACTCACTGGCTTTGTCCTGTCCCCCTTCAGAGTTTACCAGAATGCAGGACATCCCGGAGGAGACGGAGAGCCGCGACGGGGAGGTGGTAGCCTCCGAGAGCTAAGGGGGGCCCCTCCCCCTGCCCTGTGCCCCACTGAAGAACATTACTGAGGGGGGCTAACCTTGGGGACTCCAATTTGCCAATGATGAGGGAACATTTGAAGGAACTGCTAATTGTCCTTGCCAGCTCTTGGGATCCTTGGATACCTGGGGCCATTTAAGAAGCTGGGGGAATTAGGCCACAACACCCCCGGGGCATCCGAAAGCTACACCACAGATGCCAGTGGTTCATGCCTTCTTCCCTCTACTTTAGGAAAATTTATTTATTTATTGTTTATTAGTTATGGGGGGAGAGGAGAGATTTAAAGTACCAGGGACATGGGAACCAAGCCATAGGGATCAGAGGGCCTCGTCCTTCAACACTACTGGGGTTTATTCAGGCTCATCCACGCAGCTGCTGCGTTCTTGCCCTAACACCCCTCCCCTGCAACACCCGTCTTAGAGGAGAGGCTGCAGCCACAGAACCCTACTGCCCTTTAGTTAAAGGAGGGCTGTGGGCAGGGCCATGTCCTTTTCTCCTCTCCCCTCAACTTTGTACTGCTGTTCTCCCTCTCTCCGTCCTTTATGGAAGTCCTGGGAGATAAGCTGGCTTCCTGGAGTTGATGGAATAGAGGTTGGGGTGGCCATAATGGTTTGTTGGGGGCGAGGGAAATACCCACAGGGACCAGAATGTTCTGATGTTGTTTTGTTTTCTTTTTTGTACCAAAGTCAACTGCACGTGTTTTACATTTTTAAGAGATCGTAGGCAATTAGAGATCGAAGCCTCCTATCTCCACATCTCTGAAGAAGTCGAGGGGTGGGGGAGACAATGACTTCTGCCTTCATCTGCAGTAACGGGGGGACCTATACTGACCTCTTCCCCAGCCATTTGGAAACAAGTTCTAGGGTGGGTTGGGACATTTCCAGGAGCCCTGACCTCATCTTCCACCTCAGCAACCATGACCTGAAACCTCAGCGTGAATTTGGGGGATTTTTCAGTGGAACCCCTGCCCTCAAATGCCGACCAGCCCCAGTTTTGTTTTTTTTTTTTCCTGCCAATTTGGTTGTTTAAAAAAAAAATCAGGGAAAATTAAAAACCTGGAACTCCACAAGGTACTGTTTCCCGTAATGTCTGCCGGTTCTGAGGAGGATGATAGGAGAGAGCCGGGCAGTGACCGTTCCTCTGAAAGGGGCCTTTTTCTCTCACAGAAAGGACAGCCTCTGCCTCGCTGAAGAGGGGGGCACTAACAAAAGTAACCACTGAAAATCTGCTTTTGGTTTTTTAATGTACCAGTACAAGGATGAAAACAAAGAGGGCACACAGGTTCCGATGTTGGGAATTGCGCTATCAGGAAATGTGTGACCATTGTATTTGTAGGCCATGCTCAGCCATCGCCTCCACCTATTGCCCAGGTCCCCAGCCTCATTCATTGTCAGATCCAGCCCCCACCTGCCGTTGTTCGTCTCCATGGCATCGGGCCCTGGGGTTGCCCCTCACAGGAGCTGCTCCTTGACTTGGCCTCTTTGAGAGGCAGTGAGAGATGAGCTGGTTTCAGTTCTTCTTTTTAGCTAGTTTTACTTCCTGTTCGGTTGGTACTTACTTTGGGGCTTTGTGGGGAGGGAAGGAGGGGAGAGTCTAGGGTTGTGTATAAATGCAGGTACAAGTTCATACCCCCATGGGGTCGGATTAGGAGAATGGGGCTCAGGCCCTCAGCTAGAAAGAGGAATTGAAATCATGTGGGAAGCAGGCTGGGGGAGTAGCCAGCACCCTCCCCTTCTGTAACTCATTCTCCAGCACAAAACCTTTACAAGGTGCTTTCTCAGCCATTACCAGGATCCTGAGAATGGGGAATTGTTCTCATTTTACATGCAGGGAAACCTAGGTGCACAATGCTTGCCAGGCCAGGAAGGAACCCGCTTTTTTTTTTTTAGATGGAGTTTTGCTCTTGTTGCCCAGGCTGGAGTGCAATGGCACAATCTCAGCTCACTGCAACCTCCGCCTCCCAAGTTTAAGCAATTCTCCTGCCTCAGCCTCCCAAGTAGCTGGGATTACAGACACGTGCCACCATGCTCAGCTAATTTTTGTATCTTTAGTAGAAACAGGGTTTCACTATGTTGGCCAGGCTGCTCTCCAACTCCTTACCTCATGATCCTGTCACCTCGGCCTTCCAAAGTGCTGGGATTGCAGGGGTGAGCCACTGCACCCAGGTTTTTTTTTGTTTTGAGATGGGGTTTCACCAGGTTGATCAGGCTGCTCTCGAACTCCTGACTTCATGATCCGCCCACCTCGGCCTCCCAAAGTGCTGGAATTACAGGCATGAGCCACCGTGTGCAGCCTATAATTTTTGTATTTTTAATAGAGATGGTGTTTCTCCATGTTGGTCAGGCTGGTCTTGAACTCCTGACCTCAGGTGATCTGCCCGCCTGGGCCTCTAAAAGTACTGGGATTACAGGCTTGAGCCTCCTCACCAGCCTTCTTAGTTCTAGTCCACCACTTTTCTCCCTTGGCTATTCTGCCTACAAATATCAGGGCTTTAGGTTTCACCCACATAGACACAGGGCTCAGCAGCTGCCTGCCAGGTCAGCTGGAAGCAGCTCAGACCCAGCGCTGTGAAGGTAGAACCTTTAGGTGGGAAAGGAAGGTAGGTGAGGGTGGGGTGGCGATATTAGATAGCATGCAGAGTCCACCAAAAAGGGGGAATGCGGGTTCTCCCAGAATCCTCCACAGGTCCAGTGAGAGATGCTGGTCAGAAGAGAACACAGAAACCTGGAGACACAGCCCAGAGTGGGTGCGAAGTCCACCGCTGCTTTCTTCCCAGCAGTGCTGTCCCTTCTGCCACCACGTTACCAACCCCTGCCCACCACACATAAACATCTTCAGCCCCAGAACGTGGGCACAAACTCGTCTGATGCGGCTGCTCCTGAGAGCTAGGTCCCTTCCTCACATCTTGAACCATTGTGTCCCCTGCCCCCTCCCTAACCCGCTTTTGGGAACCTACAGTCTTAACCTCTGTCCCTCCTGCTGAAGTTTCAAAGCCATCTGGCTTTGTGTTCTAGGGAGCCCCAGGGCCCATGTTCTCACCAAAACATTGCTGTCTTTCCATTCCAAGAGGAGCTCCCGGCTGCCCGCTCTGCCCAGCCCTCCCTTCTCCATCCAGCTGCACCCTCCTCCTCCTCCTCCCCACCAAGAGCATTCATCTCTGACTTGAACCTGTGTACACTTTGTCAATATTTACCTCCAGGGCCCATAAAGCAGAGATGCCCCCAGGGGAGCCAATATCCGGAGCCTAGCAAGGGCGTCAGAGGAGCTGTTGGGGTGGGAAGACGGTTGCTTAGGTGGAGGATTTTCCATTGCCTTCATGGGCTAGGAATAGACCTGGAGTTTTGGAGCTAAACATCATCAACAAGAGGAAATTAAACGAGGCTAATTAAGTTACCTTCACATTGCTTAATCTGTTGTGAATTGGGTGCCTCTTTGGAGCCGCCTCTGCCCAGCAATTAAAGGAACTGGGGCAGGGGACACCTGTAGGCACTGTGGCTTCCCCCCTCACAGGGGGCTCCGCACTTAATAAGGTGGCACTGCTCCCGGCTGCTGCCCCAGGAGCCTGAGCACCCTGTGTCCTCATGGGTTCCAAGACATGCCAGAGAGCCTGAGGAGGGGGCAGTGAAAGTGGGAGTTCTACCCCATCTTCCCTCTGCCTTCCTCCTTTCTAGAGGCTGCCTCCCAGAAAACCCTTCTGATGGCTGACCTTTATCACTGGTGTGTCTCAGTATAGGAACCACAGAGGAGCCCCCTATCCTGCAGACCTGGTAACACACCACCTTCAAGAGAGGCTTGGGGTCAAGCTCTGAGGTTTTTCTTGTATTTGTTTTTGAGATAGAGTTTCGCTCTTTTGCCCAGGTTGGAGTTCAGTGGCACAGTCTTGGCTCACTGCAACCTCCACCTTCCTGTTTCAAGCGATTCTCCTGCCTCAGCCTACAGGCGCCTGCCACCACGCCCAGCTGATTTTTTGTATTTTAGTAGAGATGGGGTTTCACCATGTTGTCCAGGCTGGTCTCAAGCTCCTGACCTTGTGATCCAGCCGCCTCAGCCTCCCACAGTGCTGGGATTACAGGCGTGAGCCACCATACCCAGCCTTTCTTACTTGTTTATGTGAAGCTTTCATTATACCCCACTTTGGAACACATAAAACCATTCCAGATGAGACATGGTTCCCCATCATGATCTCCCAGCTGCACCCTTATTTCCTCCCTTCTCTCTGTCTCCATTTTACACAGGATGTAAGAATAATAGTTAACAGTATATGTCACTGTTAAATCTTTTTTTTTTTTTTTTTTTTTTTTGAGACAGTCTTGTTCTGTCGCCAGGTACCAGGCTGGAGTGCAGTGGTGCAATCTTGGCTCACTGCAATCTCAGCCTCCTGGGCTCAAGCAATTCTCCTGCCTCAGCCTCCCGAGTAGCTGGGACTACAAGCGCATGCCACCATGCCCAGCTAATTTTTGTATTTTTTAGTAGAGACAGCGTTTCACCATGTTGGCCAGGATGGTCTCAATCTCTTGACCTCATGATCCGCCCGCCTCGGCCTCCCAAAGTGCTGGGATTACAGGCGTGAGCTACCATGCCCGGCTGTTAAATCTTCAGTAGCCCGTTTTACAGGGGAGAACAGTGAGGTACAAAGGTAAAGTAATTTGCTGGAGGTAAAGGTGTGCATCCAGGTGCTCTGACAGATTGATACTCTGAGGCAGGGACAAGGACTAGCACCACTTTCTGAGGTTTCCACTTTTCTGACTCCACCTGCAGCCTGTTCTCCCAGTTGCCCCCCTTTTAATCTCTCACCTGCGTTCACTCCACCCATGTCTTTGACTTGTCATTATCTTCTCCTTTCAAATCCTGATTTAAAGGGAGAAACACAGGCACTCCCGTCAGCACCAGGGTTTTACACCCAGGGCTGGGAATTTCAGCAATATCCCACACCTGGTATTCCTTTAGGGGAACTATAGTTTCTGCAGCTGAGGCCTCTGTAGGCAGCAAGTTTCTGTGGTCACCACTGAGATGGTAAGGTGGGGACAGGGGAAGAGGGTATTTGTGGCCTTGATACCAGAGAAAGACAAGGGATACTCTGTTTTGAGGTGGGGGGTACAGGCAGAGGGAGATGGGCACTGACCTCTGATTCATTAGCCTGGAACCCTTAGGGAAGTTTTCCTGGGAATTACTGCAGAAGGCAGAAATAGAGCAACGAATCCTTTTGTTCCACACTGAACTGGAGGTGGAACTGGGATAAAAGGTCAAACAATTGGTGGATAATCCAGAGGTTTATTCTCAGATCCTCTTCTTTCCCATCTCCTAATAAAGACGTAAGCTTTGTCACACCCAGCTCTGATCTGGGCCCCCGCCTCCCCCATTCACCACACGCAGAATTGGGGATCAAAGATGAGATTTTTCTCCGAGGGTGCTGCAGCCTGGCAGAGGGGGCAGCTTCTTCCCAGGACTCAAGTATCCTACACTTGGTGGATCTCAGAAAGAGGAGTGTATTCAGCTTGCGCCCTTCACCCCGGTGTCCTTCTGTCCAGGTTGGTGAGCAGGGTTGAAGGGCCGCACTCCAGGGGGTTGCTGGCGACCCACCACCTGCCTGCCTGCTTTAAAGCCACTTATTGCACCCAGCCTCCACCCTGGGGCCACAGCCTGGATCGCAGATCCCTGAAGGTGTCTGCCAGAGCCTGCCGGGACTCCCGCCTCAGGAGACAGTACAGCACAGGGTTGAGACAGCTGTTGCTGTGAGCCAAGCATGTAGTGACAGGGAAGACGTATGTATGGATAGTATAGAAAGTGCTGTTCCATGGCACCAGGTCAAACTTCACCAGGACACCCCAGAGAGTGACCACATGGTTGGGAAACAAGCAGAGAAAAAAGGAAGCCATCAGGATGCGGACAGAGCGGGCCACGACCCTGCTGTCCTGCCGCCGCCGTTGCCGCCGCCGCAGGAAGGCCAGAAGCAGCAGGTAGCTGGTGGTGATGACACCCAAGGGCACCATGAAAGCCAGCACCACCCTCTGTAGCTGGTAGGCCCCCAGCCAGTACCTGCTGGGGAAGCGCAGCAGGCAAAGACGCACACCCCATACCTCACCCTCCACCCCAAAGACAGCTGTGGGCACCGTCACCAGGGCAGCTGCCACCCACACTGCCAGGGTGGCTATTCGGGCCCAGAAGAGTGAGAGGTGGGTGCCTGGCCCCACAGCCATGGCCACCACCCAGTAGCGAGCAACACTCAGTACCATGATGAGGAAGATGCTGGCATAGACGTTGAGGACAGTAGCCGTCAGAACCATCTTGCAGAGGGCACCTCCGAAGGGCCAATGAAAGTCCAGTGCCGACTCAGCTGCCCAGAAGGGGAGAGTGAGTGCCAGTCCCAGGTCCGCCAGAGCCAGATTGAAGACGAAGGTGTCTGAAGGTGGGCCAGGGGCTCGCCGGGCACAGTTACTCAGTACCCACAGCACTGCCAAATTTCCCAGCAAGCCAATGGTCCCCACAAGCCCATAGGCCAGGGCAACCATGACCCTCAGGACTAGGAATTCGACAGGCATTGCAGCACCATCAGCACTTGGCACCCTGCCTCCGGAGGCATTGACCCAGAAGAATGTGGGTGGAGAGGCAGAAGTATTGAGTGTGGGCATCGCAGGGCATCAGAGATTGGTGGTGCTGAGCAGAGAGATCTGCAAGTACCTGCCAGACTGGCAGAGGCCACTGCAGGCTCTCAGCAGGAGGCTCTAGAACTAAGTGCTTCTCTGGGGCCTCTGGTGAGTGCTGGCCCACGCCCACACCTCAGAGGGAGGGGTGTGGACAGGACAACCCACCACGTCCCTGTCGGTCAAGATTGGTGGTGGGTGGGGCAGGGTGAGGAAGAGCCTGAACCCTAAGGTATATGCGCATGCGCCTGCCTGCAAGAAGCACTCTAAATGGCAGAGAGGGAGGGGAGAAGGGAGAGTTACCCCACTATGGAGGACAGCCCCAAGCCTCCACCCCAGGGAGAAAGCTGGAGGTTCCCTGTCCCAGAGATGACAGGAACCAAACTAGAGCTGCCTCTGTTCCTAACAGCGTGCAGAGGCCTCCCTCCTCTGCAGCAAGTGTTCCCTTAGGGCCCAAAGGAAGGGGCCTGGGAGGTGGTATCGAGACAGGGAATCAACATGGGTGTCTGAGAGAGGAGACCACAGAGGCTGCAGAGTCTCAGACCTGCTACTCACTAGCTGTGTGACTAGGAGTGTTCCTTTGATTCCCTGAGCTTGTTTTCTTGCTTAAAATTTTCAGATAAGTCTGCTTCACAGGAGTGGCGTGATGAAATGAGAGAATACGTGTGATTTATATGTCTTTGTGTGAATATTTCAAAGGAGAACTTTGGGGTGTTTGTGGCAGAAGGGTACTGAGTAGCTATTACCATGCCCAGGGAACAGTGCCAACTAAAACAGGTTGGAATTCATCTCCACAGCAGTGACCTTGAGGCTAAGAGCAGGGAGGGAAAGGAGAGAGGAAGTCACAGCTTCCTGTTTCCTCCCCACGGGGAACACTGAGCCTGTGAGGGCCTGTGTGGACCTGGGCATGCCCTCAGTTCTGTTCCTGCTCCTGATAATTGAATATTCCTGCTAACGTCTGTCACCATCCTTTCCCCCTTTCCTGCTCTAGTCAGTGGACAGAGCTGAGTGATCCCCCCACTCTCTCCTGCAAACTCCATGTCAGAGCTAAGGATCCTGAGATAAGCCCTCACCACACCTCATCCTGTCTCCCCATGATCTCAATCATAACTGGGGGAAAAAATGCTTCATCGGGCCCTTCCTTTTTATTGCCACATCTCTACCTACTGCAGAAGGAGCTGTGGCGGGGACAAAGAGAAGGCAGGAGGTGGGTAGGTAAAAGAGTAAGGCTTTCTCAAGGATTCCAACATACTCAGCACCTTCTTCCCCTCTGCCAGCTAATTAAGGTAACGTTCAATATCCAGTTCCCTTGCAGTGCTGGGGGAAGAGAGGGGCTCTTTGCGAGAATAAATCAGCAGTGGGCTTTGTGAATGCACAGGAGAAACCCAGAGGTGAGAGTGATCCAGGCTGGGTGCCAACATGTTGGGGCTTTCTAACCAGGGATGAGTCTGAACAGGGTGGCAGAAGGGGAGTGCCCAGCCCCCGAGGTCAGGTGAACCCCAGAGGCTACCTCCTGGCCTTATGGGCTGCTTCTGTGTGATTGTGTCATCACTCTGTCTCTTGGGGCTATGTCTACTTCTCTGCCCACTCAGAATCACCTTGCCAGTCTGGCAGTTTAGATAACTGCTTGGCTGGGTGTGTAATCCCAGCACTTTGGGAGGCTGAGGCGGGTGGATCACCTGAAGTTGGGAGTTGAAGACTAGCCTGACCAACATGGAAAAACCTGATCTCTACTAAAAATACAAAACTAGCCAGGCCTGGTAGCACATGCCTGTAATCCCAGCTACTCAGGAAGCTGAGGCAGGAGAATCACTTGAACCTGGGAGGTGGAGATTGCAGTGAGCTGAGATCACACCATTGCACTCCATCCTGGGCAACAAGAGTGAAACTCCATCTAAAAAAAAAAATCCAGGCGCAGTGGTTCACGCCTGTAATCCTAGCACTTTGGGAGGCCAAGGTGGGCAGATTCCCTGAGCTCAGGAGTTTGAGACCAGCCTGGGCAACACAGTGAAACCCCATCTCTACTAAAATGCCAAAAATTAGCCGGGTATGGCAGCTTGCACCTATAGTCCCAGCTACTCTGGAGGCTGAGGCAGGAGACTTGCTTAAACCCGGAGATGGAGGTTGCAAAGAGCCAAGACTGTGCCACTGTATTCAGCCTGGGTACCAAAGTGAGACTCCATCTCCCAAAATAAAAATAAAACTGCTTCATGCTTTGAACTTATTTTCTTTATTGGCATAGAGAAAAGAAAGTGGGCCAGAATTCCAGGGTTCTGTTATTCATTTCAAACATCTGATCCTCTGACCGTTTCTTTACCTTTTTACCGTTTCTAGTCCTATGTCTTTCCCTTGGTCTGAGACTATCAACACTCCCTTGTAGTTATGTAGAGAGGTGATGCCACCAGCTGGCCATGTCTAAGAACTTCATTTGTCTAGCATTTTGTTCATTCATTCATTCATTCATTCATTCATTCTCTCACTAATCACAGCATTCCCTGAACCCTACTGTGTGCCAGACACTGTGCTTGATGCTGGGAGGCAAAAACAAAAAATATAGTCACTCTCTTCATAGAAAATAAACTTTTTAGATGGAAGGGATCTTTAGACCATCTTGTTCAACTTCTTACTTTATGTAGAATGAGAGTGATTTGCCCAAAACCACCAGGGAGGTGACGGTAAAGTCAGGGTTTGAGATAAAAGTCTCTTGACTCCTAGGAGTCTTTTCCACTACATCACGAACCCTGAGGGAAACAATGCTAGGACGTGGACAGAAGGACAGTGACAACTCCTTTTGAGATGATTGTTCACTCACAGCTGCTGGGAAATGAGGAGGAACTAGATTCAGCAAAAATGCTTGTGCTGTCCCCTACCTTCATATTACCCTATAGAGCCAGACTTTGCCAGTGGCATTTTCTTGTCTGTTTTTACGAACTCATAGGCAGCACACTCAGAGTCGGCCACCAGTGCCATCTTCCATCTCAGCGTCCAAGGACCTGTAGCGGTAGATTATGGTGCCTTCCATAAAAAGGATTTCTAGGGGCTGAACCCTCCTCTCAGTCACCTGAATATCCGCCCTCCCTCAGTCCGCATGTCTCTCCAGCCCCACATCCCTGTCCCTGCACTTCACAGCCTGGGCTATAGAATCTCCGAAGAGGAATTGGAGGGGAGGCAGAAGGAAAAAGTTATCACTCTACAGAGCACAGAGAGGAGGGAGCTTTGTATTTGTATTTGCGTTTGTAGTAGAGGGGACAGAAACTAAACCCCTGGGGGAACTATAAATGGCAGGAGTAGGAAACCTACCCCTAATCCAAATCCCTAAACTTACATCAACCCAAGGAGCCACCATCTCTACCCTGTCCTATGTCTGCCAAGGTTCACTGGGGAAAACTCTCCAGTATTGGTAAGGGGTATGGGCAGCTTCAGTGCCCAGAAGCGGGTTCTAAATCAGTCTCTCATTGCTTGAACTGAGACGTGGGAGGCAGAGGTTGCAGTGAGCCAAGATTGAGATACTGCACTCTAGCCTGGGCAACAGAGTAAGACGCCATCTCAAAAAAAAAAAGAAAAGAAAAAAATCAGTCTCTCTCTCTCCCCCCACCACCTTCTAACTTTATGTTTTGGAATAGTTTTAGATTTACAGAAAAATGGCAAAGGAATGAGAATTATACATCTCATTTATCTTCCAAAGTAAAACTGGCAGAGCACTAAAAAAAAAAAAAGGAAAATATTGTAACAAAAGATGTGCAAGCCAGGTGTGGTGGCTCATGCCTGTAATTGAGCACTTTGGGAGGCTGAGGCAGGTGGATCACGAGGTCAATAGATCTAGACCATCCTGGCTAACATGGTGAAACCCCGTCTCTACAGAAAATACAAAAATTAGCTGGGCGTGGTGGATGTGCCTGCAGTCCCAGCTATTCAGGAGGCTGAGGCAGGAGAATTGCTTGAACCCCGGAGGTGGAAATTGAAGTGAGCCAAGATTGCGCCACTGCACTCCAGCCTGGCACCTGGCAACAAAGCAAGACTCTGTCTCAAAAAAAAAAAAAAAAAAAATACACTGGGTAACCTCATGGCAATCCAAGCACATGGTACAAAATATAAACAGTCCTCATAGGGGCTAGAAATGGGGCTGTATACTCTCATTGTTTTTTTTTTTAATAGCTGTTCCGTTATTCTTTCTTGTTAGATTTCCCCTTGTAAAAAAGTGGAAAAACATTTCTAAAACTATTTTTAGAGGTGGCATCAGAATCCCTCATAGTAAACCTCCTTGTTTGGAAAAATTATTCAATAAATGCTTGAGGTAGCTCCCCTACATGCAACGTGGTAAATACTGGAGACATTGGGAAACCCCACCCTCCATCTTTTCTTTTTTTCCCATCACAATTCCTACTGCTGTGGGAAAGATTATTAGGCTCAAACAGCATGACCCAGTTTGGCATTTTCCAAGGTTGGGCTGATCTAAATGAATTTGGGGGAGATACTCTGGAGGCCGGTATGGGAATGCCGCACCACCATCTGGAGGAAAGGTGACTGAATCTTAGCTAGAAAGTGCCACTGAAACAACAGGGTAGTAGCAAGGATGTGCTCTCCAAGCTGTCACTGCCTTGGAGTTGGTAGTAAATGGCCTAATAATACCTAAATGAGCACTAGGAAAGAATCACTGAAATTCATATGTCAAATTTTGACCATGCACCCAACAGAAAGGAAAAATAACCTCAGCCTAACCTATCTCACTTTAGAGAGACTTTTTCAATTAGCAGTAGAACAAAGTGCTATTGAATTGAGTTTAGAAAATCAGATTCCGGCTACCCATGGTGGCTCCTGCCTGTAATCCCAGCACATTGGGAGGCCGAGGCAGGCAGATCACAAGGTCAGGAATTCAAGACCACTGTGGCCAATGTCGTGAAACTCCATCTCTACTAAAAATAGAAAAAAAATAGCTGGGCCTGGTGGCGCATGCCTGTAATCCCAGCTACACCCGAGGCTGAGGCAGGAGAATTGCTTGAATTGAGGGGTCGAAGGCTGCAGTGAGCCAAGATCATGTCACTGCACTCCAGCCTGGGCAACAGAGTGAGAGTCCGTCTCAAAAAAAAGAAAAGAAAATCAGATTCGGTTGTAACAATAGAGAAATATTTTATTACTATTATTTTTGTTGTTGCTCTGTCACCCAGGCTGGAGTGCAGTGGTGTGATCATGGCTCACTGCTGCTCAACCTTCTCAGTTCAAGTGATTCTCCTACCTCAGGAGAATCCTCCTACTCAGGAGGCTGAGGCAGGAGAATCATTTGAACCCAGAAAGCGGAGGTTGCAATGAGATGAGATTGTGCCATTTGCACTCCAGCCTGAGCAACAAGAGCGAAACTTTGTCTCAAAAGTAGCTGAGACTACAGGTGTGCCAGCACACTGGTTCATTTTTATTTTTTGTGGAGATGGGGTCTCACTATGGTGTTCTGGCCTTAAGTGATCCACCAGCCTCAGCGTCCCAAAGTGCTGGGATTATGCATATGAGCCACCTCACTTGGCCATGAAAAGAGAAATGTTATTAGTGAAATTAAGACTTTTACGAGAATTATAAGCCTGGGCACAGTGGCTCACGCCTGTAATCCCAAATTTTTGGGAGGCCAAGGCAGGCAGATGGATCACTTGAGGTCAAGAGTTCAATACCGGGCCAGGCGTGGTGGCTCAAGCCTGTAATCCCAGCACTTTGGGAGGCCGAGGCGGGTGGATCACGAGGTCAAGAGATCGAGACCATCCTGGTCAACATGATGAAACCCCGTCTCTACTAAAAATACAAAAAATTAGCTGGGCATGGTGGTGCGTGCCTGTAATCCCAGCTACTCGGGAGGCTGAGGCAGGAGAATTGCCTGAACCCGGGAGGTGGAGGTTGCAATGAGCCGAGATTGCGCCATTGCACTCCAGCCTGGGTAACAACAGCGAAACTCCGTCTCAAAAAAAAAGAGTTCAATACCAACCTGGTCAACATGGTTAAACCCTATCTCTATTAAAAATACAAAAATTAGCCGGGTATGGTGGCAGGCACCCGTAATTCCAGCTACTCAGGAGGTTGAGTGAGCTGAGATGGTGTAACTGCACTCTAGCCTGGGCAAAAAGAGTTAAACTCCACTTCAAAAAAAGAAATAATTATAAATGAACTAAACATTTAACTTAAGAAAGTAAGGGGGGAAAACAATATAAATCTTCCCAAAAGGAGAAGATAAATAATAAAAAATAAAACTTAATATGGAATTGTGGGGTTGTGGTGGCTCACACCAGCACTTTGGGAAACTGAGGCAGTTGAATCACCTGAGGTTAGGAGTTCAAGACCAGCCCGGCCAACATGGTGAAACCCTGTCTCTATTAAAATACAAAAAATTAGCTGGGCGTGGTGGTAGGCGCCTGTAATCCCAGCTACTCAGGAGGCTGAGGCAGGAGAATCATTTGAACTCAGGAGGCGGAGGTTGCAATGAGACAAGATCATGCCATTTGCAACAAGGGCAAAACTTCGTCTCAAAAAAAAAAAAATTGAATTGATGAGCAAATGATGAATAAAACTAAAAGCTAGGTTATTTTAAAAGGCAAAAAAAAAAAAAAAAAATAAGACACTGGCAAGACTAAGGAAAGTAAAAAGAAAAGAAAAAAGGTTTTTTAAAAATTGAAAATACCAAGTGTTGGAGATGATGTGGAGTAATAGGAACCGTGGTACATTGCTGGTGGGCATGTAAAACAGTGCAGCCAGTTGCTTTGACAGTTCCACAAAAGTTAAACAAGATGTCCATATGACATAGCAATTCTGCACTTACGTATAAACCCTAAAGAATTCAAAATAGGTACTTAAATACTTGTGAATGTTCGCAGCAGCGCTATTTACAATAACCAAGAGGTGGTAACAACCCAAATGTTCATCAATGGATGAATGGATAAATTGTGGTCTATACAACCAATGGAAAATAAATTTGGTGATAAAAAAGAATGAAGTTTATTCAGTGATAAAAAAAGAATGAAGTTCTGACATACACTACAACATGGATAAACTTTTTTTTTTTTTGAGACGGTGTTTCGCTCGTTACCCAGGCTGGAGTGCAATGGCGCAATCTCGGCTCACCGCCATTACAGGGGTGAGCCACCGCACCCGGCCAGAACTCTTAAAACATTGTGAGGGCCGGGCTCCGGGCGCGGTGGCTCATGCCTGTAATCCCAGCCCTTTGGGAGGCCGAGGCGGGTGGATCACGAGGTCAAGAGGTCATCCTGGTCAACATGGTGAAACCCCGTCTCTACTAAAAATACAGAAAATTAGCTGGGCATGGTGGCGTGTGCCTTTAATCCCAGCTACTCAGCAGGCTGAGGCAGGAGAATTGCCTGAAACCAGGAGGCGGAGGTTGCGGTGAGCCGAGATCGCGCCGTTGCACTCGAGCCTGGTAACAAGAGCGAAACTCCATCTCAAAAAAAAAAAAAATTGTAAGTGAAAGAAGCCAGACACAAAAGGCCACACATTGTATAATTCCATTTACATAAAATGTGTAGAATAGGTAAATTCAGAGAAAGAGTAGATTAGTGGCAGTCCCTGTCTTGCTGGGAGAGATAAATGGGAAGTGATTGTTAATAGGTGAGGGGTTTCTTTTTGGGGTGATGAAAATAATCTGGAATTACATAATGGTGATTGTGACACAATCTTGTGGACACACCAAAAAACACTGAATTATGCACTTATATTTTCTCTTTTTAGGCTGGGCGCGGTGGCTCACATCTGTAATCCCAGCACTTTGGGAGGCCGAGGCAGGTGAATCACGAGGTCAGGAGTTCAAGACCAGCCTGGCCAACATGGTGAAACCCAGTCTCTACTAAAAATACAAAAAATTAGCTGGCGGTGGTGAGCGCCTGGAATCCCAGCTACTGAGAAGGCTGAGGGATGAGAATCACTTGAACCCGGGAAGTAGGGGTTCCAGTGAGCCAAGATCGTGTCACTGCACTCCACCATGGGCGACAGTGCGAGACTCCGTCTCGGGGTGGGGGGGAGGAAGAAAAAAAAAAGAAATTTTTAGCTTACAGAATCAGCTCAACAAATTCCTCAGCATAGCCCTCAGGGCCTTTCATTTTCTGGCCTCCCGCACTCCAGCCATCTCAACCGTTAAGTACACAGATCCCGGAAAAGGGTGCTCCATAACCGACGCTTGATCACCTCTCCAGCACTCAACCGGCTTTTTAGCGTCCCGTTCTTAGACGCTCCAGCAAGATGAGCAGCTTATCTTCTTCGACCTTTGCTTAATATACAATTCTATCATACCTATTTGCCTGCGCGCCTGCCCTGCCACACAGTACCAGAATGTCAAGGCCTGTGGCTTGTTCATCTTCATATCCCCTGCTTGGTGCACAGAAATGAAGCAAACAGATAAATTCTTCAAATGATCTTTTCAACGAATTTAAGTAACAGAAACGTGAAACGGACAAAAGCTACGGAAGGCTGTCTCCCCAGACAGAAACTGGGACTCAACACAAACGTAGCGGAATTTGAGGAGAAACCTGTTTAATCTCCTGACTCATGCGTATTGTCTTCCAGTCTAACAACATGCCCACAATAAAGATGGATTCTGCTAGCCCCGATTCCGCCTTTATAGTACGCATAGCAGCCATCTTTCTTAAGGGTAAGGAGCAACCCGGAAGATCACACCCTACCTTTTTCAGAAATGCAGGACGCCTTTAAATCATGGAGAGTCCAATCGGAATCGACATTTTCACCGGAACCGCTCGGCTTCACGACCGGAAGAGGCTGTGCGTAAGAGCGTTGGGGGCGGAAGTGACGGGAAAGTGGTAGTTGGGTAGTTGGCGGGTGGTTGAGTAGAGCCGGTCGCCATGTCCGCGGGGAGCGCGACACATCCTGGAGCTGGCGGGTAAGGCTTCAGGGGCGAAGGCATCGAAGCGAGTACTGTGGCACGGGAGAGATGGAAGGACCTTGAGAAGCTGAGTTTGGGGTGGAGGGGCCCTTAAGTGGGAAGTGGGGGCTTGGGCGTTCGGGGAGAAGGATCTTGAGCAGGCCTGGGGCCCTTAAAGGGCCGGCGGGGATCTGAGGGAGGAGGGAAGCGGGGATTTTTGGAAGGGCGAGCCAAGGGGAAGGAAACGAGAGTGCACAGGGCAGAGTGGAGTCGTTGGATAAAGATGACAGTAGAAAGGAAAGATTTGGGGGAAGCGTTTGAAAGAAGTGGTTAAAATAGCAATAATCGTTTAAGAAGAGGGGAGTTGTAGATTTGGAAGGTGATTCGGAAGTGGATATGAAATATAATAGAGGGAAAATGGGGTGCTAAGGCATAGTAAGGAAAGAATAACATACATGAAAGCTTTGGGGCCTAATGTTTTTTCTTTTTCTACATATAGGCGCCGCAGCAAATGGGACCAACCAGCTCCAGCCCCACTTCTCTTCCTCCCCGCAGCGGCCCCAGGTGGGGAGGTCACCAGCAGTGGTGGAAGTCCTGGGGGCACCACAGCTGCTCCTTCAGGAGCCTTGGATGCTGCTGCCGCTGTGGCTGCCAAGATCAATGCCATGCTCATGGCAAAAGGGAAGCTGAAACCAACTCAGAATGCTTCTGAGAAGGTATTTGAAATTGATGGGTCTCCACTAATTGTGAATTACTAGTTGTTTCGTAATCCTGTGATCTCATAATCATTTGCGTTAGTTAAAAATGGATATAGTCGTTTAGAGATCATTTAGTTTTGGAATATTCCAGATGACATTTTGTCACAAATACATATTTACGAGGCATTTTTGATTGGGCTGATTACATTTATGGACCAAATACCTTGTCTTGTCCTTGTTCACTTAGTTCACCTTGAGTTATATTTCCATAGTCATTTAAAGCAACATAACATGTTTTTAACGTGTGCTTTTTCCCTGAAGTCAAAAGAGAAGTTTAGGTAAATCAAGTGAGCTTCAAAGTGTCATCTCTAATTAAAACCTGAAGTGGGTTTTTTGTTTGTTTTTTGTGTTTTTTTTGAGACAGAATCTCATCTGTCACCCAGGCTGGAGTGCAGTGGTACGATCTCGGCTTACTACAACCTCTGTCTCCCGGGTTCAAGTGACTCTCCTGCCGCAGCTTCCCAAGTAGCTGGGATTACAGGCACATGCCACCATGCCTGGCTAATTTTTTTTTTTTTGTATTTTTAGTAGAGACAGGTTTTGCCATGTTTGCCAGACTCCTTTCAACCTCCAAAGTGCTGGGATTACAGGTGCAAGCCACCATGCCCAGACTTGTTTGCAAAGACTGTGTGAGTCAGTTGTCCATTTCTAAGGTTTATGGGGAAAAATTAAAGCATCTTGACAGGCCTGGCACGGTAGTTCACACCTGTAATCCCATCACTTTGGGAGGCTGAGGCGGGAGATCATCTGAGGTCAGGAGTTTGAGACCAGCCTGGCCAACATGGTGAAACCCCATATCTAATAAAAATACAAAAAGTAGCTGGGCATGGTGGCACATGCCTGTAATTCCAGCTACTTGGGAGGCAGAGGCTGAGGCAAGAGAATCGCTTGAACCAGGAGGCAGAGGTTGCAGTGAGCAGAGATGATGCCATTGCACTCCAGCTCGGGTGACAAGAGTGAAACTCTGCCTCAAAAAAAAAAGGCATTTTGTCAAAGATGGAATGCTCCTTGCTCTTTGTATATTAAGATTCTTAATACTGATGTCAATCATTTAAGGATTTTTTTTTCTTTAGAATAATACTTTTTTTTTTTAACATAGAGATGGCATTTCACCATGTTGGCCAGGCTGGTCTCAAACTCCTGACCTCAGGTGATCCACCCACCTCGGACTCCCAAAGTGCTGGGATGGGCGTGAACCACCTCGCCCAGCCAAATAATACTCTTTTTTAAAAAAGATATTTGACCTCACCAGGATACATAAATACTGGATTTAGAATCATAAAACCTAGGCTTGAGACTCATTATCCACAGTTACTGGTTATGTGGCTTTGGCATAATGAAACTCAGCTTTGTTGGTAATATATACCTGCATTGTCTAGTGCGGTAGTCACTAGCCTCATGTGGCAATTTAAATGAAAATTAAGGGGCTGGCTGTGGCAATTTAAATGAAAATTAAGGGGCTGGGGAGAGAGATCCAAGATGGCCATCTAGCAGCAGCTCAGGGTTGCACCTCCCAGTGAAGGCGTAGGGATTGAATGGACACCAGACTTCCAGACGAATTTTTGTTGCTTACGGACCAGGAGATTCCCAGCGGAGGAGCCCCACGGGTCTCCAGTGTGATTCTTTTGGCCAGCGCAGCTGTCTTGCCGGTGTCTGGGTGCGGCGGTTCTCAGTGCGGAATATGCGGAACTGGGTGCCCTTTTAGTTGACATTTGGAGCTCTGAGAAGGCAAGGTCACCCATTCAGCTGATTGAGAGGGGGACTGAAGCCGGGAGCCAGACCAGGAGCTTCCCCGGGCAGAAAAGCACCACGAATCTTGGTGCCGCTGTTTCAGCCCGCGCTGTCGCCGCACAGGAAATTGCATAGATCCCGGCGCCTTTTCAGCGGGCGACTGGGACACCTGGGAAAGAATCAACCGTTCAATTAGGAAAAGAAAAAAAGGGGGCTCCAAGGCGGGGAGCCAGGTGATCGATCGGGCTCGGCTGGTCCCACCCCACAAAAAAACAGCAATTGGCAACACTGACGGTTGAGAGTTTCACAGCAAGCACAGCTGAACCCAGGAAGGTCCAGCTCTGTTGGGGAGGGGTGTACACTGAAGGAAAACAAAGAAACAGAAATAACATCACCACCAACAATCTGGACCCACTCAGAGACCCAATCTGAAAATCAGCAATTACAAAGAGGACAGGTGGATAAATCCACAAAGATGGGAAGAAACAAGCGCAAAAAGGCTGAAAACATCCAAAATCAGAATGCCTCTCTTCCTTCAGGGGATCGTAGCTCCTCATCAGCAAGGGAGCAAGGCCTAATGGAGAATGAATTTGATGAATCGTCAGGATCAGGCTTCAGAAGGTTGGTAATAAGAAGCTTCTGTGAGCTAAAAGAACATGTTCTAACCCAATGCAAAGAAACTAAGAACCTTGAAAAAAGGTTTGACGAAATGCTAATGAGAATAGACAATTTAGAGGGGAATATAAGTGAATTAATTGAGCTGAAAAACAACACGAGGACTTCACGAAGTATGCACAAATTTTAACAGTCGAATTGATCAAGCAGAAGAGGTCGAAGACCAACTTAATGAAATAAAATGAGAAGACAAGATTAGAGAAAAAAGGATAAAAAGGAATGAGCAAAGCCTCAAGAAATATGGGACTATGTGAAAAGACCTAATCTACGTTTGATAGGTGTACCTGAATGTGACGCAGAGAATGAATCCAAGCTGGAAAATACTCTTCAGGATATTATTCAGGAAAACTTCCCCACCTAGCAAGGCAGGCCAATATTCAAGTCCAACAAATACAGAGAACACCACAAAGATATTCCTCAAGAAGAGCAACCCTAAGGCACATAATCGTCAGATTCACCAGGGTTGAAATGAAGGAGAAAATGCTAAGGGCAGCCAGAGAGAAAGGTCAGGTTACCCACAAAGGGAAGCCGATCAGACTCACAACAGATGTCTCAGCAGAAACCCTACAAGCCAGAAGA